TAACGGACACGGGTGACACATTATGTCCGCAAAATAAATGAATGCACTATTCGTCGCGTTGAAAACACTTTTGATCCTATATCTCTCTCTCTCTTTTTTTTTTTTTTTCTCTCCACGGTTATATTATATGGACGATATTTATAGACATTGCTCAAGACATTGTCGAGAATGTACACATTTTTATCTAGAGAGAAAGAGAGAAAACGTCAAAAAAAAAAAAAAAAAGCAAATGCACTTAAATCAGAAATGAAATTGAGAAGCTGCGCGCATGTACAAATAATGTATTTCTTTTTTAAAATAACTGATAATCCTTATATTATTCTATTTATTTATTATTTCATTTAAAATTTGAAGTAAAAGAAAAATTTTCCGGTTTAGTAATAAATTTCCCGGTAATTACCCTGATAATTAATTTTTATAATATTAATAATTAAAAAAAAAAGAAATTTTTTTCCTTTTTTATATTTCCTCCAATTATTATATTTAACAAAGAAAAAAAAAATTATTTTCAAATTCATTACACTCAGAAAAAAGATATGTACCATTTTTTTTTATATTTACCCAATTTTTTATGGTTAGTTCAAAACAAAATTTGTTTAATTCAAATAAATATTTATATATTTGATCTAAAAATAACTGTTTGGTTTATTTTAATAAATTTTTTTGAACAAAGAAAAAAATTTGATTGAGCTAAATATATAAACGTTTGGTTTATGCAACCAAATGTTTGGTTAACTGTATATATATCAATGCAATTTTATTATTTTGTTGATTTAACATAAAATTTGGTTGCTTCAAACGAATTTTTTTCTGAGTGGTAAAAACAAAGGAAAAATCAAAAATAGTTTTCGATTTTTTTTTTTTTTTTTACGTGACTTTATATAATAAACGCGGGGAGATGAAAAAAAAAAGAAAAATTCAAGATACAGCAAATTAGAGCGAGCTCACGAAAAATCTTCGACTAAAAATTAGTGTGGGAAGATATTTCGCGTGGCATGCGGCAAGCATTATTTTTCTTATATGTGTGCATGTGAAATTATTGTCCAAAAATAATGGACGAATGAATATAAAGGATTTTGGACGAAAAATTTCATGTTTAAAACTCCAGACTTCATGCCTCGGGCCCAATTTTTAATAACTGGCCTTTATATATATATATATATAGAGAGAGAGAGAGAGAGAGAGAAAGAGAGAGAGGGTTCTCTCCTGTGGGAGTATTGCGTGCCAAAGGCACTACTAACCACACCCCGCTTGAGGGCACACACGTTCACATCAGTCATATATATATTATATACAGTGCTCCAGATTGCATTCGCACGAGATCAACGACAGCGATCATTTCTCTTTCAAGGATCTATATACTCGCTCGCGCGAACCCTCTAAACTTCTCCAAGGGTAAATGCTCCTTCAAAAATGCAATCTCAATCTTCCCATATATATATTCTGGGTCCACTGAACCAGACGCACGCAGGAAATATTTTAAATTTCTAACACTCTGATTCATAATTCTTTATCATCTATAATTAGGGGTTTTTTTTTTTTAAAATCTCCCTTTTGTTATAAATTAAAATTAATAGTTTCTGCTTTTATTTATATATAGAAAAAACAGTGGATGCAAATAATAAAGTTACAATGAAAAAAAAAAAATTTTATTTGATTCAAATAATTGAGTATTATTAAATAAATATATTTACATGAAACAAATTATTTTTGTATTTAAAACAAATTCCTTTAAACAATAATTATTTAAAATATTTATTTAATAATAGTCAAGTAAACGTTTATTTGAGTCAAATAAATTTTTTCTTCAGTGTACGGTACAAATTAGGGTAAAGTATTGTCTTAATTATATAGAATTAGAAATTGTACATTAATTTTAATTAGTTAAAATTTATACTAATTTTTAGTCATTTTTCGTTAAAAATGGTAGTACAAAAAAATAATATTACTAAATCGAATAGAAATATTTTACTAAAAATTTATTTTAAAAAATAATATTAATAAATCAAATAGTATAATATTTTACTAAACATTTAGTTTAGTAAAAAAATAATATTACTACATTAAATAGTAATAGTTTACTAAAAATTTAGTAAAAAATTTCTACTAATTTTTAAACAATTTTCACTAAAACTTTAGTAGAAAAATATTCATAGATCAAATAGTTAATATTTTACTAAAAAAATTTACTTTAGATAAATAAAAATTATTACAAAATTAAATAGTATATTTTACTGAAAAATTAGTTTAGTTAAATAATATATTACTAAATTATATTGTAATATTTTACATAAAAATTTAGTGAAAATTTCTACTAATATTTAAACAATTTTTAATAAAACTTTAGTAAAAAAAATATTACTCAAATTAATAGAATACTCTATTAGTAAAACATTTTTACTAAAATTTAGTGAAAATTTCTAATTTTTTAGTTATTTTTCAGTAAAATAGGAAAAAAAATAATAGTACTAAATTAAATACTAATATTTTACTAAAAAATTTACTTTAGTAAATAAAAATTATTACTACATTAAATAGTTATATTTTACTGAAAAATTAGTTTAGTTAAATAATATATATTACTAAATTATATTGTAATATTTTACATAAAAATTTAGTGAAAATTTCTACTAATATTTAAACAATTTTTAATAAAACTTTAGTAAAAAAAATATTACTCAAATTACTAGAATACTCTATTAATAGAACATTTTTACTAAAATTTAGTGAAAATTTCTACTAATTTTTTAATTAGTAAGAATTTATTCTCTATTTAAAACTAGGGAAAATTTCCACTAATTTTTAGTAATTTTTTTCAAGTAAAAAAAACTATTACTAAATATAAAAATATTTTATTAAAATTTTACTTTTCGGTTAAAAAAAATTTCGAAATAAAATAATAATATTTTACTTAAAAATTAGTTAAAATTTCTACTAATTTTTTAATTAGTAAGAATTCATTCCCTATTTTGAAAATTTCCACTAATTTTTAGTAATTTTTTTCAAGTAAAAAAAATTCTTACTAAATATAAAAATATTTTATTAAAAATTAGTGAAAATTTTACTCATTTGTATTATTGAACGAATTTGAAAAAAAAAATTACGTAATGAACAAATGAGTATAAATAATAAGAAAAAATTTTTTGACTTATTTAAATTTTAATTATTCAATAGCAAAAAAAAAATTATTTTTTTTATTTAATAATTAGTTAAAATTTGACTAATTCAAATGCAAACAGTTAGTTAAATTTTTTTACTAATTCTAGAATTTACTCCAAATATGCACAGTACCTTTAATATATTTGTACCCGCACCTGTTATTTCAGTATAATAATAAAATATAGAATTAATTGAAAATTTCTCCCATTAATTAAATGAAAAGAAATCGCGAATTTTTTTTTTTTTTTTTAAATCTACTAAAATCTAATTTGAAAAAAATATAATTTTTCCCTCATTTCTAATTATTTTATTTTCTCTGTCATTTTTTCTTGCGTTGTTTATTTTCATCATTTAGATATAACGGTTTTATTGTATAGAATTTATAATACATATATAACAGATGATTTATACAAATATACACCCCAACAACAACCAAGAGAATTGTGGGAAGTCAATTTAACAGTTATATTTTATTATTAAAATGACCTCTCTCTCTAAAGCTTGTCTTGTCAAAGTCCAATGTTTATTTATTTTCATTTTTCTTTTTTTTTCGTGCAAATATTATAGATAAGAGTAAAAAAAAACCGTTATTTCTAGACACCCTTTTTTAAAAGAATATTATATTTTTATATGTCAAGTACATTTTTTTCCTACGCTCACGAATCCATTTATCAATAATAGTTTTCACCTTTCTTTTCAATATAATAAATCTGACATGAATCGCCATTAAGTGACGCGAGATCACGCACCTTTATAGATGGAGTAAAAGACTTAATAAGATTCGCCATTTATGGGAAAAATAAAAAATCTTGTTTCTAACACCCGAATATGGTATTCCATAATCCATGTTCTAATTTCTATTCAGTAAAATTTCTTATAAATTACACTTCATTTTTCACATTTGAACCCATTATCCGATATATATATATATATATATGTTGTGAGCTCATGATTTTTAACAAGAATCATTCTTGACGATATAAGTGAAAGTTACTTGACAATGACATAAAAAACAACTGAAAACTTTAATTGAAACGAAAGTTCATTTTTCATTTATATAGTGCGACGCTTCCGTTTGCAATATGTTTAGAGAAAACAAAATAAAAAAAATAATCTTTAGAAACGCAATTTTATGTTTTAAAAAGCCCGCCAATTAAAACAATATTTATTTGAAATAACTATTATTATTATTATTATTATCAATACTTGAAGCTTAAAATTATATTTGAAACTAAAATTAAATTTGAAACTAAAATTAATTGAAATTATCAATATTTAAAGTCAAAAATAATTAAAATTATCCTGAAGTAATTTTATTATTACTTAAAATCTGAAACTATCATTATTTGAAGTAATTGAAGCAACTGAAATATCTCCTATTTAAAGCCATTAATTTTTTAAACAAGAACAATTTATTTGATTCAATTAATTGATTCTTCAAATATTTATTTTTATCCAAATAATTTTCATTTTTTAATTTTTATTTATATCAAATAATTTATATTTAAAAAATTGATTTGATAATTAAATAAAAATTATTTGACGAAATTAAATATTTATTTAATAAAAATAATTAAGTAACCAAAATTATTTGAATAAAAAAAAAAAAAAAATTTTTTTTGTCTCTTTTCTATTATTAATTAGAAATACTTGAAACAAAAAAAAAATAATTGCGATATAAATTTTTTTTTAAACCAAATAAAGTTATTTAAATTCTCTTTTTTTTGCGATAAGTGCAAAAAAGGAATAAACTAAATTTAGTCGAGACGGGAAATACTTAAATATTCTTAAACGACCTTATGAAAATACTCTATATATATATATAATGAGACAAGACTTACCATTTTAATAGTTTCCGTGCGAAAAATTTTCTGCAAACCAGCCTGTTCAGCCTCGTGATTTTCATGTTGAACTCTCAATTCACTTGTTCTCGATTTTTCAGCTTCCGTTGCAATCTATCAACAATTAAAAAATATTATTATTTATATATATAAAACAAATAAATTACAAATTTATAAAAATAAAATAAAATAAAACAAAATAACACATAAAAAATAAAATATTAATAATAACAATAATTAAATATTATTAAAAATAAAATAATAAAAAAAAATTATTTTTTCCCATTTTTGCATTTTTTGATGAATTTAAAGTAACACAAAAATGATTGATATAAAAAGATATAAATATTTGTTATAAATAATCCTAATTTGTCTTGAATTGCCATTAATGAAACAGGAAACATAGCAATTAGTGCAAGACAGAGTTGTTTCTTTCAATAGTTGATTTTCCCATGCCCTAGTACACGGTACCAGGGTCACAACAATGGAACGTATAATCGAGTTAATTTATTATCGTCACCAACAAGATAGTAATGCTAAAAACCTGTTGCAGAATCAAACACCATTTACATGTTACATATTAGTGAACGTGAATATAATTATTATCTTATCCGCGAGAGTTTTGGAATGTGAAGGATCATAAGAGTTTGCGCCTATTTTCTGTATATCAAATCTCACTATACATATATATATATATATTCTGAAAATGCATTCCAGTTGATCATTCTCTCTGATATAATACAATTCTAATAGGTCGACGGCCTTGAAAAATTTTATTCAACTTTTCCTGATGTATTATTTATAAAATTATTTAAAATTGCAAAATTTTTTTTGACAAAAAAAATTTAGCTAAAATGAACTCCAAAAATGATGAACGAAAGTGAAAAAAAATTAGTGCAAATAAAATTTTTATTTAAATCGAATTTTTTTCAAATAAAATTTATTTAAATAAATATTTATTAAACAGTGAAAAATGTAATTGAAACTAAAAGTGTAAAAACCGTAAAATTACAAAAAAAACAACAATAATAAACATTTAATTATTAAGAAACGTAATTTTTTTTTGCTTGCGAAATATTTGAGTATAAGAGCATGTGAGTGTAAATAAACTCAGAAATTAGTGAAGCGTCTTACTGCAAAAAAAAAAAAAAAAAATAGCAATTCGCCTCACATAATACCACGGTGTAAAAAGGATTTATAACATAACCGTCAACGTTATGCGACAACCGTTACCGACTTTCATGTGCGCGGGAAGAGGAGTTGGCAAAAGTGATTGGACGAGAGTAAACCCAACTTTGAGAGAAAAAAAAAAAAAAAAAACGCACTTCTTGGAAGAAGTCGCAATATTATAAGCACCCTGATGTGAAAAATATCGAAATGACCAAATAGAGAAGTAAGGAAAAGAAATCCCTATAACTATACAATATGCGGCAATCGTTACCGCGCGGTGACAATAAAGAATAAACTAGATGCGATCTTGTGTCTCTGTGTGGTCATACACGCCTGCGTGTGGTCTTTCAGCTCTACTCTTGCCGCCAAATAATAATCACACCAAAGGCGTCTGTTACCTAGATTTAAAAAATTAATTTTCACTTTAATCAACATATTTCTTTTTCTATATTTCTAATATTTATCTAATTTTTATTATTTACAAATAATAATTATTATTTACAAATAATAACAATATTATTTATTATTATTCATTATTTAATTACAAATAATAATAATATTATAATAATAAATAATATGTAACGCCTATAGCGTTAATTTTTATATATTACAATAACTATTTTATTTTTTTGACTTCCATGTAATGAAGTGAATAAGTTTCTTTTTACGATAATATATATACTAATTTAGAGAAAAGGAAATATCACTAAATCTCACACCGAATTGAAAGATACAACTGCTGATAAAAAGGCGTTTGAAAAAACGCCGAAGAAATAGAGACCACACTTGATTACCTGGGAGTTTGGGAAATTTATTACGGACAGAGCGAGAAGACATTTATATTGATAATTGACAAAGGTCGTCGATAAAAAGTATTTCCTGTTTTGTAGATTTCCTTTTTTTTTTTTTTTATTTGATTATCAATTCTTTTCAACTATTCCGAATAAGCAAATTATTTTTTAAATTTATAATAAAAATTCAAAATTTGTTACTAATTTTCTAAATCCATTTTCCAAGTAATTATTTTCATTAAAAATTGAAATAAAAAACTTACTTGTAATTTTTCTTCGAGTTTTTTATTAACGGCTCGTAAATTTTGAATTTCCAATTCCAATTTATGAATGTCAATCGATGAATTTGAATCAATTTTTCTTCGTTTCGTTGAAACAACAGATGTCAATGAATTTGTTTTTAATTTTTTTATTGTCGTTTCAGCCTCGACTAATCGTTTTTTTAATGCCGAGAGTTCGCGTCGATGATTCTCGTCTTTTAAAAACTCCACCTTCGAGGAAACAAGAGTGGCCTCTGTCACTGAACGAGAGGGAGATTGAGAGAGTCTGAAAAAAAAAAAAAATGGAGAACAACATTACTATGAGAAAACACGATTGACACGATTACATAACCAGAACGATCAACTCCAAATCAAAATGGCAATTGCAAATTACGTTCTTATTATGTATGCATTAATTATTTTTTCATGAAAAAATAATAACAATTCTAAAAAAAAAAAGTAGAACTCTTTGACTAAAAGCATAGTATTTATCAAATAATTGTATTTTTCTAAAAACAATTCAAAATAATTCTAATAATTTTTATTTTTAAAATAAAAATGGTGAATTTCTAAATTTATTATTTGTTAAAAATTTTCAAAATAAAATCGTAATCTCGTTTTTGAATTTTCCAAACACTTTGATTTATTATTCGAAATTCTTAAAACTATCCTTTCTGAATTATATATTTGTGGTAATAATAATTTTTCAAACACTTTTATAAAATAAAAAAAAACGTTATTTAATTTTTAATAATACACATTTTTGTGTTAATAATTTTTCAATTTCCCCTTTTTTCCCTCCTTATCAATAAATCGAATTCTTTTTTAATTTAAAAAATTTTCGATTTTTAGTTTTTTGTTATAAATAGAAAAACTTTAAGAATCAAGAGAAGAATAGAGAGCATTACCTGACTTTAAGGTCGGAGATGATCTGTTGATTTTTCGCAGCTTCCGTGACTCGAGCGTCTCTTATCGCAGTTTCCAGGTCACGTCTCGCAAGTTTTGCTGCTTTTCGTTCTTCATGAAGCTCTGATCTTACCGCAGCAAGATCTTCTCTCATTCTTCGTGCTCCTTCCTCTAACCACTGTATCGTTTTTCTCAACCTCATCACATCATTCACTTTCTCTGTCTTTCGCCTACACAATTTTGTTGCAACGTCCGGCGGCTTTCTATGAAGACAAGAAATCATTTTATCTTTCGACAAATTTAAATTCACTTCTTGTTTTTTCTGATTTGTCTCATTTTCCTTCGATTGAATCTCTTGAATTACATTTGATATCTCATTGAAAGAAAGTGGCAATAAATTTCCCTTTAATTCCAAATGATTCAATGAAGAGATTTCATTTGAAAATTCATTTTCAATTATTATTATTGAATTACTGTCCTCTTCATTGTTATCATTTTTCTTGTCTTTTCGATTTTTGATAATTTTATTTTTCAATTCTTTGCACAGTGAATTTATTGACGCTGATAGAGGCCTCTTTAATGATCGTCGTTGATTTTCATCCAATTTATTCACATCATCAACATCAATCCCTCTATTATTAGTGGATAAATCTTCATGTCGTGATGTTTTCCTGGGGATATCCATTATTGACGAAGATGGCTCAATTTGTCGTCTTTTTCTTGTTACGGTTTTCGATTTGGACCGCTCAAGATTATTATGTTGACAGCCATCCTCCAAGGTCAATGATTCCCCAGTCGTTTCTGAACTTGTGTTCGTTGCAATGACGGTGTCTCCCGCTGATGGATTCATAGTCGCTTCTGTAAAATAAAAAAAAAAATTTTTAGGAAAAATTAATTTCTTTTCTTTTTTACATAAATATTTGAAAAATACAAGTATTGTAACATGTATTCTAATTAGGAACAATTAACAAGAGACAAAAAAAAAAAAAAAATGTTTTAGCAAAAATATGAACTACTTCCGTCAAAATAGACACAAACGTGCCAGTTATGAAAATACGTGGGAAAGTGGTCACGCTTATGACTTTAACGAATTCTTTGAGATCGCAAGAATGCTTCTTCTCTTGCGTAACATAAGTAACGTGGTCTTTAGTTTCGCCATAAGAAAATTTCAAATACATTTTTTTTTTCTTAATTATATAAAACTTAGACAAATTCATAAATCATATATCTATAAAATTGCAGAAAATATTTCTTGGAAAAATTGATATTTTTGTTTCACTTCGAAAATTTCCATTTTTTTTTTTTTTAATGTCTAATAATATTTTATTAAATTATTTAAATAAAATCTATTTTTACATATTAAATAGAAATTGATACAAAGAATTTAGGTAAAATAAAAAGGCAATTACTAAACGGTACATTGGCTACATACACACGAGGTTAATTTCAACTTAGCCGGATGATTGGAGCTCGTCAAGCCAACGAGCACATTCGACCTCACAAAAGATTCTAGACATAGATCATTCAATAAAACTCTATACCGAACGCGTTTTAAACACCTTTTTAAAAAAAATTTCCTCATTAACAAACTATTATTATTTAATTTTTCTCTCCTCTTTCCATTTTTTCTCTCTTGACGCGCAAAAAATAAATTATCCACAAAATTCAAATTAATGAAAAAAATTAGCAGTAATAATAATAAATAAAATTTTATAAAAAATTTCTGACACGTGGAGGATAAAAAAAAAACACGTTTTTTTTTATTTTGTCTAATTTTCATTCAACGCTGTGAATTTAAAACGAGCAGCAGCTGTAGGAGAAACTTTATAATTTTTCGCATGTTTATTTTTATTCTACTGAGAAAATACATAGAGAGAAAGAGAGAAAAAAAGGAAATAAAATTAGTCCATGACTTTTTATTGTTGTAATTTTTGTATATATATATATCAAAAGAACAAAGATTGTTGACCCGATTTGGATAGAAAAAAAAAATTTTTCCTCATTGTCAAAATGTTGCAAAAAAAAAAAAAAATAAATAAAGGAAGAATTTGTATTCAGAAACCAAGTGGGTGCGACCCAGACTTTGCGACATTAAGCTATTCATAGCCACGGCCCGCAGAGGGCCGCGCCTCTGGTTCCCTCAACCAGAAAAACTCTTTTCAATCAAGTTGTGACCTTTTTAATTTTCATACTTGCAAACAATTGTATATTATTTTTCTATATTATAAAATTATCCATTTCCCTTAAATTGATATCAATAAAATGAAAAATTCCAGGAAACGCAAATTTTTTTTTTTTTTGCAAAAAAGAAATTTTCTATTCTAATCAAATAGAATAATTTATTTGAATTAAATAAAAAATATATTTATCTCAGAGCTAAATAACTAAATAACAAATAAATTTCCTTTAAGCAAAAATAAAATTTTTATTTTAAATAAAATTTATTTGTATCAAAAAACAGGCCTCGGATCGACTTTAAGGCACAAAAAAAGTCGTTTTAGTCGATTTATTTTTCAAAAATAGTCGAAAAAGTCGATTTTTTTATTTTAACAAAATTGAAGAACAAATTTCCAAAAAAATTCTTGAAGTTACATTTTTATAATTTTTTTGAAGTTTGATTTAAGCAAATTATTTGAATTAAAAATTTTGTCATAGTTTTTAATTTTTATGGTCAAAATAATTTCAGGCAAAAACTTAATCAAGTTTTACAGATTTTTTATTAAAAACTTTTTTTTTAAATAATAATAATTTTGGAAGAGTTAAAGTTGACATTTTTAGAAATGATTCGAATTTCAAAAGATTTGGATAATTTTCAGACAATAATTAAATTTTACAAAGCTTTTTGCTTTGTAATTTATAGTTGAATAGTTGCATTTTCGAAGAATATTAATATTAATATTAATCATTAAAAATAATTTGATTTCACGAGAGTTATAATTGAAATTATTAAATTTCAAAAAATTTTAGATGGAAATTTTTAGAAATAATTAAATTTTAGAAGCTTTTAAATTGAAATTTTTGAAAATAATTAAATTTCAATTGATTTTGAATTGAAATTTTGGAAAATAATTGAATTTTAGTTGATTTTGAATTGAAATTTTTGAAAGTAAATGAATTTTAGTTGATTTTAAATTGGTAATTTTGAAAATAATGTAATTTCAATCGAAATATTGGAAAATAATTGAAATTTAATTGATTTTTAATTGAAACGTTGGAAAATAATTGAATTTTAGTTGATTTTGAATTTAAAATTTTGAAAATAATTGAATTTCTATTGAAATTTTTGAAAATAACTGAAAAATTTATTAGAAATTACACACAAAAATTAAACATTCAAATTTTTTTCATTGCAAAATGCTTTCAGATAATTGAATTAACGAAGAATATTATAAAAAATTGTTAAAAATAATTAAAATTTTTGCAAATAATTTAATTTCAAGTGATTTTGAGATAAACATTTTTTGTTATTTTATTTGCTAATTTTTTTAAAATTATAAACAATTATTAAATTTCATAAAAATTTTAATTCAATAATAGTTAAAGATAATTGAATTTGTGAAGAATTTGATTAAAATGATTAAAAATAATTAACTTAGTGAAGAATTTTAGTTAAAAATTTATTAAATAATTGAAATAAAGAAGATCTAAAGAAGATTTGCATTTTATCCTAAAAAAAAAACGTATTTTGTTATAAAATTTTAAAAAAAAATTTTTTTAAAAAGTCGAAAAAGTCGTATTTTTGAAAAAAAGTCGGTAAAAGTCGAAAAAGTCGTGTAATCCGAGGCCTGAAAAAAGAATTATTTCAAAACAAATAAAATTGCACCAAAAAATTATTTGCGCTGAAAAAAAATTTATCTAGACAAAAAAAATAATTATTTATTTAGTTCTGAGACAAAAATATTTTTTCTCTAAATTGTAGTTTTCTAATTATTTATTTTTTTTGAAAAAATTGTTGCAATTGAGACCTTTTTTTCTTTATTTTTTTTTTTATGTTTTTATTCTATTAATTACACAAATTATGTGAAAGTGAATATTATATAAATTCGCATTTAGAGGAATTAATTTAAAAAGTGTGGGGGACATGATAAATTCCTAAAAGGATAAATATTGAAATATCTTCTATATATATATATATACATTTTGTAAAAGTACAATAGAGATAGAATCATAAGTAATGAATTTAACTGATAAGATTTCTGGTCTTTATATATATAGATACTTTTTTTAAGTGGCGGATTTAAATCTTGATAAAGAATCTGGTTATAATGTTTTACAATGATTGGAAATTATACACATTGAACGGGGGCTGCAAATCAAAGTGTCGAGGTTTCCTTGTCGTGTGTTAAAGTAAAATAATGAGTTGTTATTATTTATTTCCTATATATGTTGTGAATAAAATGGAAAAAATAGTAACAATATGGCAATTAATTTTATGTATACATAGATAATAACGCTTTTAATACAATATTCAATATTCCATGACATTGTTTTTCTGTGAATTATTGCCAAGTTATAAATATATATTTATTTATTGTTACTAATATGTGGCATTTTTTCTATTAACAATTTTTATTATTTAATTTTTTATTAATTTAATTATCGACAACTAATCAAGAAACTTTCGAACTCGTAAAGAAAAAAAATAAAAAAAAAAAAAAAAAAAATTGGTCAAGTATGATGCGTGGGTTCACGTGGGCTGTTTTATGAAAAAGAAAACAATATATGATTGACTGATGTCTACTTTGGGAAATCACTAGTAATTTCTTATTTTATCCTCTGAAAAAAATTTTATTCTAATAATGATTGACAATACCATTAGAAAAAAATTTCGGTAGATGATATTTTCCGCGGTGAAATTTTAAACAATTTTTATTTCGTAATTTAAAAAACTAAATTTCAATTTTTCTAAATATAGAATATTCGATAAAAAAAATGTAATAAATTTTTACATGAAGATTTAAAAAAAAGCATTTATGAAAATGGAAGAAAGAAAATTATTCGAGATTCACATCGTAAAATGAATTCGATGCTAATTCTAATCTTCGATCTGTAAACGCCTCTAAAGGTGGTCATTGATAACATTATACTGAATTTAGAAGTGACATTCTCTTTCGTTGTATATAAAAATAGTAACCGAGCGAGAAAATATTTTCTGTCTTTTATCGAACATATATATTTAATACACGTGTATATATGTAAAGTTGACGTTTAAAATGAAAAGTAAAAAAAAAAAAAAAAAAATTTTTTTCCTAATTCATAAAAGAAATAATTCATAATTACCAAAGTTTTCACCTCCCAATGTATAAGTAATTATTTGTAAACTTTCGAATATTTTCTCTTTCAATGTCGTGATCTATAATTGCAAGTTCTAACTATCGCTAATGGTTATATTTTATTACTTTTCGTGCGATATCAGTTTAAATATGCCATGAATTTCATGTGAAAATTTCATTTTTTTCGATTACAAAAAATTAACCATAATAATTAGCCTAATTATTTCATAGGAGTGTTTTTTTCATATACAAAATTTCTTGTTTCATTTATTTCCGATTTTTTTTTGTTAATAAATAAATAAAAATTTTCCCTCTAAATATATTGTAATTTAAAATTTGTTATAACAAAATATTTAGATTTAAAAATTATGGAAAAGCTGCGCAAAATTCATATATGAACTTTCTTAATTGGGTCAAACTAATTAGTAGTTGTAAAGTCTAATTATTATTTTAACTCTATAGTGAAATATTGTTTTGAAATTTAATTTATTTAATTTCTCAATTAAATTATTCTCAATTCTGATATTTTTAATTTTTAATAAATTTATTTATTTAAAACTGATTTAAATATTAAAATATTTAATTTTTATAAAAATAGGCATTGCAATTTAATTATGTTAAATTGTTATAGTTATTAATTACGTTAAATTAATAACAAATGCCAATTATTGCATCAAGGTCAATTGAAGACTCATGAAGACGGGGGGAGAGTGTAATGATTTAATTGAATGTCAATGTTACTTACCAATTTTGCAAGAACGACTCAGCTTATCTGTCGGCATCGAAAATAGTGAACACTGTCTGTTTTTTTTTTTATTGTGGATTTTGTTTTTGTTTTTTAAAAAAACGATATTCCGGCAGACAATCCTCCTCGTGAGAGACACCGTCACAAACTAAACTCTTGTTGCTTCGTTTCACGCACGATCGTGATCACCGCCCACGTTTGCAAATAATCCACATTCATATATATCCCCCGGGATATGCTCATTGCTCAATCATACACAGCAGGAAGCCTCTTTGCGAATTTCCTCAATCTATCCTCTCTCTCTCTCTCTCCTTCTCTCAAACTCCTCGTGTATTTTGCCATTCCAGCAAGTTCAAAGTTTATGTTAATTAGAGAACTTGTCTCGAAATACATATTTTCAGCTTCCGGGATTTAATTAATTTTCTGCAAATTGAAACAAGATATTATTAATTAAACGAGAAACCAAAAAAAGAAATATTTCTATATGTGAAATTAAAAATATACGAAATTATAAATATTATAAAATATGTGATAAAATCAAAAATGTAAATATTAATTAATTAATAAAAAAAAAAAACTTTGTGATTTAATTATCTAATTATAGAAAATTTTTTTTGCTTACTTTGAATTTTTTTGGTAAATCAATTTTGATAAGCATTTTTGTAATATTTAATATTGTAATAATCAGTGGTTCATTTTTTTGTTTCTATCGGGAAATTTAATAATTTTTTTAAAATTTTCCATTTTGGATTTTTTTTTTTTACGAAAATTTAAAATATTTTTGTACAAATTATATAACCTATGAAAATGAAAACTAATTTGAACACAGCAAATTAATTTCAATTGTTTCCTTTTAATTTATTGGTGCGCGCGACATTGACTTTTACTACTATAATTTTATTATTCACTTTTCAGTATTAAAAAATATTTATATGTGAAAGTTGATAAATCTATTTATATAACTTTAAATAATTTTCTTTCATATAAAAATTTTATTATTATTTTTATTGTTATCATTATTGTTAGTAATTAAAGAGATATTAAATTTATTTGCTATTATTAAATTTTATACTACCTATATGTAGAGAATATTTTTCTCTAAAGTATGAATAGTTTCAAACAATGATAGTTCTAATTGATGATAATTACAATTAACGATAGCTTCGATTGTTATTTTTACAATTTACGTCAGATTTAAGTTTATTTCTAATTAATGAAATTTCATTAATTATCGCTTTAATTAATGAGTTTTTAATATAGTGATAATTTTAATTAATGATAATTTTAAGTAATTACAGCTTTTAATTTAAATTAACTTTTTATTAATGTTAGTAACAATTAATGAAAATTCTAATTAATTATATTCTTTAGTAAAAAAATTTTTAAATTCACCGACATTTATCTGATTAATTTTTCTTTCACCCTAACAAAATTTTTGAAATTATTTAAAGTACTAAAATATTGATATTTGTGGTTTCTTTGAAAAAAAAAAATAATTCCTATTTTTTGTGAAGATTTTTTTTAATCCCTGGCTTTAATTAATTTCTAATTAAAATTGTCAATTTTTAATTATTCGATAACAGCTAATAATTAAATTAGAACCGATTAATTTTCCACCTTTTAAATTGCAAACAAATTTGCAATTTAATAACAAATGAATTTTAAATAATTATTATAAAATTAAGGAAAACAATTGCAATTAAAGGAAATTAGTTAAAAAAAAAAAAAAAAAAATGTGCGTAAAGGACACTCGATCTCGAAATTCGTCTAAAAGTAGGTAACTCGCCCTGGTGAAAATCGCAGTGGGAGTCAAAGTACGCCCTCCTTCACCCCTATCGATCGACGCCTGTGCAGAAACTACCCCTGTACAGCAGCCAACCGGAAACAATCGCCATTCATCTAGAACGTGGCATAAACGCGTGTGCTGCGTGTGTCATCGATTCACCAAGATAAAATTCATCTATTTCGCGAGAAAAACTAAAAAATTACACAATTACGCGAAAAAAATTTTTTTTTTCAACTTATTTAAAAGGTGAAAAATTTCAATCAATTTTTAAATAATAATAATTATTAATAATTTCAATTGTGAATACTCGTGTTAGCAAGAGGTCATTGTCTTCATGAGAAAGAGAGAGGGAGAAAGGAAGAGACAATGTGTGTGCATGGTGTTCTATTTACCTTTCTCGCAAGCTTTCCTCTTCATCCCTTCTTCATCATCCCCATATAGTTTGTGTGTGTGTGTGTGTTTATTGGTTTTTCGTCGTGCATAGATAACTTAAATACGTGACCGTGGATCGATGTGCATGTAGAATCGGTTGCTGACAGTGTAACACGAGGTCGATGCGGTTTATTCCTGCAAAAAAAGAAAAAGTAAAAGGGTGTTTTCATTCGATTTATAAAAAAATATATTCTTAGGTTAATAACTCATACAATCACGGTATAATAATTTTTAAATTTTTAATTAAAAAACTTTTCTCACTGATAATAATTAATTGTCAAAATAGTTAATAATTCAATTAAATAATTAATTCACAGTGACGGTAATATTTTGTTTCAATAAATTCTAGAATAATAATTATTTTAAATTTTTTCTTTTATAAAAATTTCACTTTTTTTCCCCTAAATCGTAAAATAATTTGTCAAAATAATTATTTTCTTTCCGTGTGAATTTTTTTTAGTTCCAAATAATAATTTTAATTGACGATAATTATTTTAACAACTGGAAATTTTGATTGATAGAATTATCAAATGACAAATAATTATTGTTTCAATTTATAATTTTGATTGTCGCAAATTTGATTAGTTTATAGTTTTAAACATTATAATTGAATACGATTGATTATTTTAGTTACTATTGATATTATTTATTAAATATTTATAAATATTATTAATGTAATAATAAAAGTGGAAGACATTTTTTGGAACAATAACAAAAATTTATAAATTAATATTCCAATAAATAAAAATTTAAAAGAAAAAATAAATTTCGGCAATAAATTTTCATTTTAAAAACATATTGAAAATTGTGGGATTTGTCCGTATTTCCGTGAAAGAAAAAAAAAAATGAAGAAAATTCTCCTGTCTCATCGGACTTGTTCCACTTGAATAAGGACACGTGAATTGCGTGTGGCATTTGTACGAATGCCGTCTCGCGATTAGATAACATATAGAGAATAAAGTGGGTGATGGTGGAGTGGAGTTAGAAAAGAGACAGATGAACACAGAGTCTCGAAGGCGTAAGAAGTAAAAAAAACAAAAAGAGACAGAGAGACACAAGTAAAGAATAGGAATTGGTAGTGGAAACAGAAAACGAGATTCTCCGACAATCTCCTCAGTCTTCGCGTATATAAAAATCACACGCGACAATTTTATCAATACGTTCGTCGTGAAATATTTTCTTTCAAAATATTTATAGTGTTTCTTTTTGTTTTTAAATTAGATTTTCAAACTAAAAAAAAATTTTATTTCATTTCAGATATCAAGATTAACAAAAATATGTCCATGGGATAAATATGGACCTGACAAATAAAGTGCTGCTTTCAAAACATAAATGCAAAGCTAGTGATTCAATTAATAGGATCTATTTTGACGTCGAAAGTAGTGCAAAATAAAGTATCTTTAAGTAGTTGCAATTAGTGTCTAATTAGCTATCCAATCAATGTCGACGCCTGAGAGGAGAGTTTCGCTGACATCGAGTGCAAAACCAGTACTTTAATAACTGAGTAAAGAGGAACATAATTCACAATACGAAAATTTATCAGCAAATATTCTATTTTCACTTTAATTTCATTATAATAGTTATAATGAAAACGAAGAATAAAATCAAATTTCACTGAATAAAATAATAACTTTATTAAAGGGGAAAAAAATAAATAATTTCACTATAAAGACAATTTCGAGTATCGAAAAAGAAAAAATTAAAGTGAAATTCAATAATACTTAAATTTCAAACTAAATCGATAGAATAAATAATATTTTCAATAATGGAAGATAGACAATCGACAATTGTAACGGAAAATGATACGAAATCAACAACTCCTGGTCCAACAGTAACAAATACATTAAATACAATGCAACCACCAATTCTTACCGTGACATCTGGTCGTATTTTACGTTCTCCAAGCCACGAAAGTGTGACAACCGATTTATCCTTGTTTAGTGTATCTTCAATAGCCAGTGACGCCAAATGTGGTAATAGATTGGTCGCCTTTAAGTCATATAGCGATGTGCAACTTTCAGTCAGAGACCCTTCGCCTAATCCGGACTCTCGTCAAATCCAGGGCAACAGGTGAGTCTCGATTTTCTCTTAAAAAAAAAAATAAATTATAAAAATTAAATACAATTTATGACATAACTTATCTGTATTTATTTGAGTGATAAAAAAATCTGTTTGCCTCTATTAAATAAATTGAAATTGTAATTATAAAACAAAAATATAATTTAAAAAATTCAAATACAAAGAAATATGATTAAAAAAACATAAAAATACAATGAAAAAAAAAATTTCAAAAAAATAAACACAAATAATTAGGGACAAATTGCAACATTTCGTTGCAATTTTCTCAATTGTCAGTTTTTATTTTTATTTTAATAATTTCTGCAAAAAATAAAAATTATTTTCATATTTTTTTTAACGTTCAAATAATAGGAAATTTTTTTTCAAAGAATTTTTTGTTACCATTTTTTAACGAACGAATCAAATTTCTAAATAAATATTAAATTAAATATAGAGAGAGAATAATAAAAAAATCAAATTAATGAGATTTATTGAATCTTTTCCGGCTTAGTTTATAAATAAGCGCATTACTTTAGAATGTCTTTACACTTGAGAATCGATTCAAAGTATTCTTCCACACTATACAACCGACCTTCAACTGACCAAGAAATTCTTTATGCTTTTAATAATTTAATATATTGTTTCTAAAAATATCAGAAATTACATAAGAATAAAAAGAAAATAATGACACTTGTAATTTTAATAATAAACATTATTCTTCTATTATTAATGATATTCATTGGTTTTCTTTTATATTTAAATTTTAAAATTAAAAATTTTTTTAAAAATAAAATCAACAATTCTTATTCAATTATTTACTCTAATTATTAAATTCAATTTAATTATCTTAATTATAATGAAAATATATAATTAAAAATTAAAAAGTAATTAAAATTAATTGAAAACTTAAAATCGGTAAATATTTTTAAAAAAAATTTTTATTTTAATATAAAATTAAATTTTATTTTAAATTTTATTTAATTTAAATATGGATTCTTGTAAATAGGTATTATTATTTTGCTTTTAAAAAAAAAACATTTGAATATACCATCAACATCAATAAGTGATTAATTTAAAGTGCAATTGCTGGCGAAGTTGAGACAAATAATTCTCGAACTCAAGAACAAATTACTTATACCAAGTATTACTAGAACTTAATTCATCTTGATTGAAACTTTTAGAACTGCTTTTGTTAGAAGGAATTTGTAGCAGTTCCTTATTTACATAAACTATATAAACTCAGTTCGCAGAGCAATTGAATAATTTTTTTTTATAAAACTATTCAAACTGCTTTGAAAAACTTATTTTTATTCATTTCATTTTGTTTCTATTTTCATTTTTCTTTAAAGATTTATTTTCTCTAAATGTTTACTTTTAATAATTAATTTTTATAATATAAATAATAATTTTAAAAAAGAATTGTTTTAATTAATTTTATTTAAAAAAAATAAATAAATAAATAATTTAAAAATTGATTCGTGACGAGTTTATAATTATTTTTACTCACTTAATGTTTATTCTTTTTTTTAGGCCAGCGGATATACCGGAGAGTATATGGTTTGAGGAGGAAACAGATTTGATTCGTAGTTGCGGTGCACTATCGTCAGCATTGGGTTTACAGAAAAGTTTCAGTACAAGCGATGTATCACAGCTTCCTAGTCCTGAGGCTTATGGACCGCGTGGATTGAGATCAGCGGTTTCAGCTCACGCTCTTGACTTTGCACATAGAAATAATCTTATCCTGGAACATGCGGGACTTGATCATGCCTCGAGGTCCTGCAGCACTTGGGTTGCAGTCGGTGACGTTGCCAGTACCTCTCAATTACCAAGTCCTCACGGTGGATGTGAACAGCCTCAGCTTACTGCACCACATCCACCGACAATTCCATTTACTGCTGCTGATCTTGTTAGATCTGTTAACAAGAAAGTTCGTCAAAATTACATTCGACGACGGTAAGTCGTGAAATTTAATTCTCAATCATTATTCCTATTAAATTAATAAATATTCAATATAAATTTTTATGATTTGAAAAATGAAAAGTTGATTTTTTTCCAATTAAATTAAGTATATATATTTTTCAATGGAGGTTAATTAAAACAAAAAAAATATTTACCTTTGCGAATTTTAGTATCTTTTAAACAATAGCTTCTATCAATTTTTTTTTCTCGTGAGATCACAATATCAGTTTACAATACTCCACTGATTGAAGGAGACGTAGTTCAGAAATTCCAATTTGATTTTTTTTTCCTTTTGTCTCCTTTGATGCAACTGATTCGATAACCAGGGAGAAAGAGGCTGAAATAGAATAATAAAAGGGTCAACGCGGAAGAAAAAAATATCGAGAAATTTTATTCAGAAAAAAAAGAAAAGAAATAAAAATCTTTTTTAAAAAAATAAAATAGTAAATTGATTGTATAAAAGAAAGACAAAATATAATGAAACATTAAAATTTAATGCAAGAAATAATTAAGGTAATTAATTTTTTTCCTATAATGAGAAAAATAAATATTATTACGTGGTTCAATAGATTGTTGACGACTTATCGAGCACTGGAGCGCTTGTCCCAGAGTGAATTCAATCTCGATAGATTGGAAGCTGCGGCATCGGCGGCACAAATAACACCTGGTGCCACTCTCGTTGTACCTGGAGCTCCTGTGGTCCAGGTTGGACGAAAGAGCAAGGATCATGCCCTAACGGTCAAGGACGTCGAGAGAGAAAGAGGAAAACAACTTTCCAAATACGAGAGAAATATGATGATTTTCAATTGGCTTCACACCCTCGATGACACGGTCGAAGAAAGCCTTCAGTAAAAATTACTGATCTTTAATTTTTTTTTTTTTTTTTAGTTCTTTTTTTCAATTTTTAGATATTTTCAAATAATTATACCAATAGTTCTATAATTACCATATATGCCATGCGATATAAACGTATAGAAGTGGAAACGTACGATTTTCTGTTTATCTTGAAAGCTCAAAAAATTTCATAATTTTATTCAATCGTTCAAATCAAATTTTTAGGTCCGATTTTTTCATTTTCCAACATCACTATGTGAAAATTTCCAAAAAGTAAAGCTGAAAAATAAAAAATTATCAAAATATTAATAGAGAAGAAAAATAAATAAAAAAGAATAGTAAAATAAAGAAAGTAAATTTTACAATAAAAAGTCAAATAGTTTTCCAAAAATTATGAAAAACTTTTTTTAGCGTACAAAATTTTAAACTTATTATTTGCATTGTATTAATAACGCTGTTTGCGGTTTTTAAATTAAACTCTAAGCAGACAATAAAAAAAAATTTTCAAAAAAAAAAAAAAATGAAAATAGTAATTTAGATAATATTTACTTATGTAATATTTATACCAAAAATGATTTTTACTCAAAATATACTTTACTAATTTTACATTTTTAATTTTAAATTTAAAAAAGAAAAATTGAAAACAGAAATTTATAAAACGTCCCACTTCAAACGACTTACGATCGCTTTCTCTGTGATAACTTAAATAAAACAAACGATCATCTTAATTAATTATTAAGTTGCATTAAGGGCACGTGACACATTACGTCACCGATCGAATTATTATAAATTTTAATTTTTTAATTAAATTGAATTAAATCGATAACGTAACGATGTGTTACAAACTCTTAAATAAAAAAAGTATTATTATTTCATTAAATGTCTGTCGTTGTAAGGTATATAAATATTAATTATTTATTTAATTTCACGATATTTATAAATATATAATAAATATATATATATTTGAAGATGTAATAAAACGAAATCTGTAAAAAGTTGTATTATCATAAATATAAAAAAAAAATCATCGCAGGAATGTTATATTGCATTAAATTAATAATTTTCAAATTATTTTTTACTGAATAATTATTTATCGTTAAAATGGAAATAATATATTATATAAAAATAAATAATAATCACTTTGAATCATAGAGATTGTGACAATGATTAATCAAATAAATTTTAAGCGTTAAATTTTTAGATTTAGCAGTCATAATATCGTATAAATAATAATTTTATATCTAGTCAACGATATGAAAAAAATTATCATGCATTTTTAATAGGGTTTATTTAATTTTTTTTTTTTAATTATTAATAATAAAATAAAACGATTATACGACTAATAAAATAAAAAACACAATAATGTGTAATTTAAAGAAAAATTAATAAAATACGAGTGTGGAAAATATACGTCCGTTAAAATAAAATCACGAACTTCCATTATAATGCGTTTGTATAACATTTCCCATTTTGAGAGTTCTAAAATTAGAAAATTTGAAGAAAAATTTTTGATTTTAAATAAAATTACATCTATAATTTAAATTAATATGAACCAAAAAAAAGTACCTATTTTGATTCATTAGCATCAGACAATTTTAATCAGCTTCATCACAATATTTGTATAAAAATCAACACTGCCTGAATATAAATCTGTAACAAACAAACAAACAAAAAAAAAAAATAATCAACAAAAGTCCAAAATATAGAATACAGGATTTACCTGTAACAATATATGACAATTATTCTAATCCAACGAAAAGTTTTGGATTTAAACAATGTCCTTTATTCCCATATATGATCATATCTGAATATATATTGATGTAAGCTAAAATGTTATTAAAAAGAAAAAAGAAAAAAAAAATTGTTTTCGGTGCACAATAATGAAAGTCAAATATATCAATACTGTTAATATTATTTTATCAGAGAATGTAAAACAATTAATAATATTTTTATTTTACGCACAAAATATCGGAAAAGAAAAATATCAATCATGGTGCTTTTTTTTAAAGACTTAGTTTTAAAAAATCATGTAATTAATTGCAAACGAAAATTATATAAAATATTGTGAATTTAAAATAGGTTGAAAATTTAAATTAATATATTTATATATATTTGTAAATTATAAATTAGATTTATTTTTGTGTTTTTTTTTACTGTTTCATTAATGTTAGTTGTTAATAACATTTTTAATTTTATTACTATCTTTTTTCTTATTTTAATTACTATCACTATTCTTATTGCTAATATTATTACTATTATTATTTTAATTATAATTAAATAATTATAAATATTTAATAATAATAATAATAATAATTCTTAATAGAATGCTCAATAATTGTAAAATTATTCGACTCTCTTTTAGTAAATTTCATTCTTCCGAAAGCATTAAATTGCAAAAAATAATTATTTTTGAAAAAAATATCGAGCAATTATTTTGAGAAAATAATTATTTATATAAAATAAGCTTAGTCTTGAGGAGGCAATGATATTATTCATTTTAACGCGAACAAAATGTTACAAAATATATAAATATGAACCTGTGCGAATAAAAAATTAAACTTAAAATAAAATTTAATTAAATTAAACTAAAAATCTATTTTTTAATTTTAAATTATGTTCAAAAAAAAAAAAATTCGAACGAAATGAAAATTAAATAAGAAATACATTTAATCTTTATTCGCACTGGCCTATTCATATTACATGTGTTCGTATGAGAGCCTTAATGTAAAACGTAAAAATATTAAATGTTCATAAAGTCATGTAATGAAAAAAAAAATCATTAAAATTTATTCCTCTCCCTCGCTATATTGAAAAGTAACACGAAAAGTAATTTATCAATTACCACGACTTTATTAATTAATTTTTATTTTCAATTATAACCCTAATGGTAACAATATAAAAATAATTATATTGCCATTTAATACTAGTAGTTTCAATCTGTACAAAAATTAAAGTCGATGATCATCAACATAAATGACACTCATACAAATTATATTTAAAAAAAAAAAAAAACATACTCACAATCGCGAGTAAATTTTTTTTTATTCCATTTATAAAATTCAATCGCTCACCTCTTTGCATTCAAAAACACAAGTGTAAATCCTTTGGAACAAAAATAAAAAAAAAGTAATTTTTTTTTTTCTTAAATTGTCTCTCTAATCCGAATCGGAAGCGGAACTGGCATCGGACTCAAATTCAGTGACACTAATTGTGAACTGATATTCTTGATCGCATCCCAAATAAGCGTCACTCATAAAATATAATGTATAAGAATATTGTCCAGCGGCAGGTGCAACGAAATCCAATTTTACTTTTGCCTTTTGCTGTAATGTCAATCTCTTGATGGACAATAGAGAATTTGATTTTGGTTCACCAATAACAACCCACCATCCTTCCTCGCGTTTTTGTGGGAAAAATGGCGCAATCACAGGACCAACAACTTCATCCTCTCTTTCCAATTGAACAGTAACATTAACCGTTCTTCCACTACGCAATCGATCTTTATCATGAATATCATAAGACATATCAATATTTGGATAACGATTACAAAATTTAGCGACATCAGTCATTTGTGAATCATTCAATTGTAATAAACGATTACGTGTATTATCCTCCAATTCCATAATATCAAAAACAGTTTCAACTTCACGCTCAGTGCAACGTTTTATTATTTCCGGTGTGAAATGTGGTAATTGTTTTAAATATGAATCTTTCGACCACATTGCTTGCGTTACCATTTGTGCCAATTCCATTGCAGCAACTGCTGGTGCTAACCATCCCGATGAACTTAAAACATCAACGCACGCTTGAATTAATCGTAATGCTTTGCCTAAAACAAATTCTGTATCTTTTTGTAATTCCGGTCCCAATTGAATACGTGATAAATGTGCCTGTAATAAAAGTAATGCTTTCACATGTGGATTTGCCATTCTTTCCGATTGTGATGGAGCGTGTGGTAAACGGGCAGCGAGACTTCTCAAAAGATTTTCCTCACGTTGACGAACTGGTACTGCTTCATATTCAGCGGCAGCGGAAATAATTTCCAAAAGACTACGAATTTTTGTCTTACTTGTCAATGACGATGAGAAAAGTTCAATTGTCGCATAATTGATATAATAGTAAGCAGCAATCATACCCAAATTCAATGGAATTGTATCAACTTCATCTTCAACTGATACGCATTTCGCTTGTTCTAAATCGCCCAATGTACTCTCAACCAATTCCGAAAGATAATCCGACAAATGTCTATGTGTCACACCTTGAAGACCATAATAATTTGGATTTTGCGTGAGTCGTCTATAGAGGAATGTCCAAGTGAGATAATCAACAGCATCTTGTTTATTCTCAATAGTTTTTGTAACAATTTCAGCATTAAAATGATCATGCAAACGATGATTCAAATGACTTTCAATTGGTAACGGTTCGTTGAGGAATTTTTTAAAGAAATCTTTTTTCGAATTCTGACAAAGTAAAACACACTTTGCATCATGATCCCTTGATTCAGGTCTATTTGCTCTTCCCACCATTTGTAGAACATCAGTAATTGGATAATCCTCATAGGCATGAGTTCGTCCATTATAACATTGTGTATCCATTATGACAACTAAATGAGCACTAATTGAGAGACCCCAGCATAAATCACGCGTAACAACCGCAACTTGAATTGCCTCAGTTGCAAATAATTGTTCCACTAAATGACGATCATCAGCCGATAATCCCTCGTGTAAATAAGCAACACCCTGCGATAATGTCTCCTTCAATGTCTTATCAGACATTCGATCCAAAAATGGTTTAATATCTGATTCTTCAGCGTGAAAAAATCTCGCCGGTTGTCCTTCAGCTGCCGTGAATGTCAATAAATCAATAGCCGTTAATCTTGCTTGTCTTCGTGTGGGTACAAAAATAATTGCCGGTTTATGTGGAGCATGACGTAAAATAGCATTGTAGACTGGTTTTGCCATTGCTGCCAATCTTGAAGCATTATGCGTGATATTAATTCCCTGAACGTGTAATTCCAATGGAATTGGACGAACCGATGGATGAAAATTAAATGTCGCAGCTGCTGGTGCAGCTAACCATTGTGCAGCATCCCTTGCATCTGCCAATGAAGCCGATAATGCAATCATTCTCGCTGGTGTATCCAATTGACTTGAAATATATCTTGCTCGTGAGCAAGCAACTTCCAAAATTGGTCCCTCCTCACCACCAATCAATTGTAATTCATCAACAATAAATAAATGAATATTCTGCACATTTTTCCTCTGCTTCCATCTTCTTGACAATACATCCCATTTTTCTGCTGTTGTTATCACAATTTGTCCTTTTGCAATTAATTTCAAATCAGTTCCCGTTTCACCCGTTAAAAGAACAACTTTTTTACCCAATCCATGACTAAATTTCTCCAACCAATCAGAATAAATTAATTCCGCCAATGGTTCCTGACTCACAATATAAACACATCGTCCATGTTCATTTTTTGTTAATAGACGAAAAATGGCAATTTCAGCAATTGTCGTCTTACCCGAACCTGTTGGCGCTCCAATAAAAACATTATCATCTGAATTATAAACAGCATTAAAAACTTGCGTTTGTATTGGATTAAATTGATCAAATTGTCGATATGGACTTGTGTATAGTGATTCAAATTCACGATTTCTTAATGCAGTAATTGGCAATGGTTGTAAATCCAATAATTCAGTTGGTGGTAGATTCTTCTCAGGTAGAATTAAATGACGAAAACTAACTGGCAATTGTGTTTCAGCGCCAATCCAACGATCAGAAACAACACGTAAAAAATATTGCGGTGGTAATGGTTCAAATACGGGAACAAAAAATTTTATTAAATGCTCATCATTGGAATATTTTGATTTAAGTAGAAAATATTCATGATGTAAAATAACTTCTGAATCAACATCCTCGACTAATATCCAAAATGCCTCTGAAGCACCGTGTATTTTTTCATCCCATTGAAAATCAGGTGTTATTGTTAATTCAACTCTCAATGTTGATCTTGTGATTGGTTGAATGTGCGTTGAAAGTTCAAGTTTTGGAAATTGATGAATATATTTATGTATCGTTTTTCCTAATTTTGGAACACGAATTAATTCACCAATTTCATTTGGTCCAAGATCATATAAACGTTCCCAGGGGAAATTTTTCTTTTCAATTTTACGTACAATTTCCTCCGGCATTTTACGAAATTGTCGTAATGGTGACATTGATTGCCACATACGACGATCAATCATTTTACAAAGTGTTAAACATTTATCAGCCAATGCTGCCCAACCGCGAAAGAGAACAATTTCATAAATTGCCCTCATTAAACGCGCTGCCGATTGTGTTACATAAATCATATCAGACATTAATGCAAATCCTTCTAATTTCAATTGGGAAATATAGGCTTGCAATAGAACATTAACCTTTGCGCTTGGTTCCTCAATACTTTCTTTAACTGGCACTGGTACACGTTCCATTAATTTTTGTAATTCCAATTTCTCCTCCTCGCGTACATTTATATTACGAAATTCACCCGACAATGAAAATACACGAAACAATTCAATTTCACTGAGAGTACGTTTCAATAATTGATTATAAGTCAACATTGTATCATGAGTACAATAATAATGAGAAGCAATTCTTCCCAATTCAGAAGCTTGAAAATTACCCGATTTCCGATCATATTTAATGAGTCCACTACGATCCAATGACATTGCAGCCGAATGAATAAGATCAGCACGATGTAATTCCAAATATGGATCTTCTTTTAATTTATCATGACTTATTCCATATAATGAGGGACTTCTCAACATTCGAATATAAAGATAAGTATATCCTAGCCATGTGACGGCGTCTCTTATATTTTGAATTGTACCCAAGACAATTTCGGCGTTAAGCATATCAGCCATTTTACTCACCAATTGTGATTCAATTGGCAATTGTTGATTCAATAGTGACAAATAATATTGTAGTTCACTGTGATTTGTTATTAAAATACCTTCACCTTTTGTATCGTACTGTGGTCGACCGGCTCTTCCCAACATTTGTAAAACATCCAATGCTCCCAATTCAATCCATCGTCCTTTCTCAGGATTATAAACTTGTGTTCCTTTAATAATAACAGTGTGCGCTGGTAAATTTACACCCCATGCTAATGTTGCAGTTGATACTAATACTTGTATATGCTTATCGGCAAATAAATCCTCCACAAGTGTACGATCAACTCTTGTCATTCCTGCATGATGAATTGCAAATCCATATGGCAATAAATCTTTCAATTCATGATTTTTCACTTGTTCTGCTTCAGTTCGTAAAACTTCCATTGATGCCGAACCCTCACGAAGAAATTGTCCAAGAGTATCCTTTTCAAGACACATATCACGAATTGCTCGCGCCGTTTTACCCGTTTCTTTACGCGAATGAACAAATATTAAAACTTGATTACGTCCTGCGTGCTCCATTGTTTTTTCATAAACAATTTCATTCATTACTTGAAATCGTTTTAATGCTTTCTTTTCCGTAACGCCAATATATTGTTGTTCAAGTGCAACTGGCCTAAAACTATTATCAAAATAAAATAATCCAGTTTCGGGTTTAATTCGTAAAAATGTCGCCACATCTTGATAATTTGGTAATGTTGCCGAAAGTCCAACAAGTCGAACATCCTCCTGTGTTGTTTGTATATTTCTTATTGTTCTTGCAACAAGTGCCTCTAAAATTGGTCCACGTTCATCGTGCAATAAATGAATTTCATCAATAATTATTAATCTCACAAGTGATGTGAACGTTTTTTCACCACCTTTACGCGTTATTATATCCCATTTTTCAGGTGTACAAACAATAACTTGAGTCGCAGCAATTTGTTCACGTGTCAATTGATGATCGCCAGTCAATTCAGAAACGGTGAGATTATATGATTCAAGACGTTTGCCAAAATTACCCACCATTTCCTGTACGAGTGATCGCATTGGCGCCACATAAATAATCTTGAATTCATCGACATTTATTGATCCATCGGCATTTATATGTTTGCCAATTTCCCTCATCATACAAAGCAATGCAACGTTTGTCTTACCGGCGCCAGTTGGTGCACACAAAAGAAGATTCTCATCACTTTCCAATGCTGTGTGCTGTAAACGACTTTGAATTCGATTTAATGTCTTGAAACCCTCAAAAGCTGGTTGCACATATTTTGGTAGCTGATCAATCGGAACGAGTTTTTCATTTTCACCAAATGGTTTTGGTTTTAGAGCTGGTACATGAACTTCCTCATATCTGTAAATATATTTATTATTAGAATTAGAAGGAAGAAAATTATAAACAATTTTTTTTTATAAAACCTACCCTTTTCGTTGTTTGCGAAAACTTCCATCAGGCAATTGACAGCGTTTATTAGCCATAAAATGACTACCCTGAGTGAAAATTAAATCCTCCAAGTCAATCATATTCCTTGAGCCTTGAACTTGACCCCCGGGTCCTCCTGTGTCTTCGTTTTCTTCTCTTCTTTTTCGTTGTGCTCGCGCCTCCATTGTCTCGTCATTGTCCTCATCGCCTTTACCAGCGTTATCAAGTTGACGTAAAATTTTCGAAAGAGCAGGATCATCATTCATTTTATTTCGAATATCCTGTCTCTCTGACTCGGATTGCGATGACGCCAACATTGTACAATAAGCGACTGAAAATTATTTCAATTTAATAAAAAATAAAATATAAACGAATTTTTTAATTAAATTTTACTCACTCATGTGTCTGTGTTTTTTCAATTGTTTGATAAAATCGAAACAATCATAACCCAATGAGAGTACAAGTTGATTTTCACATTCACGATCGTCACCAGCGTCTTTGAGAATTTCCAAAACCTCAGCAGTCTTTGCCTGTGATACCAGGGCCTCGTTATATATTCTATTTAATCTCCTTTGCAACCAATAAGCATCAATATCGCAAGGATTCAATAATTTTTCCTTTTTCATTTCTTCCACGCCACCCAACTGTAAAGAATTCCTTTTTTTTATAAAATACTTTTGGCAAATTAAAAACTAAAAAATAAAATAAAAATTACATTTTCTGCGTGAATAAGACGATCGTCATTTGCTTCCTCTCCTTCTTCGCCCTCTTCGTCGCCTTCTTGCACCTCACCATAAACATCCTCGTCATCTTCCTCGCTGCCCTCCTCAAATTGAACATTAATACCATTCTCTAAATTATCATCATTGCTCTGCATTTTTTCATCACTGCCAAAATCGGTAATCTTCTTACCGAGATTAACAAGAAGGGCAAATCTCTCTTCAGCCAAATTTCCCAAATAAGATTCTGTCTCACGTTTTTTCTCCTTCTCTTTGAGACGATCATTTTTCAATACTGCCAATACTTCATCAGCAGCACCGCACAATATATCACGTGGTTGATCGCCAATTGCCTCTTGAATAAAACTCAATAAAACTTCATATGTTTGTCGTGTTTCCTGTGTTTTTGGACGATATATAATGCCAACCATTTGATCCATATTATCAGAAAGTAACGTCACACCTTTCATACGAGTAAAATCGTACTGTGCTTCATCACGTTTCTGACGTCTGAAAAAATATTTTTATTCAATAGGTATTTTTTTTTTTTTTTTTTTCTTCAATGTATTTCATCTATTTTCTATTATTTTGTCACATATTTATTCACAGAGAAATATTATTACTAACTTGACTTTGCGTTCCTCGGCTTTTCCCGGTCTCGTACGTTGTGCTCTGTCGCCCATCCTGGATCCTTCCAATTTGCCCACAAGGGACATAACTTCACCTGTCGCTTCATCTCGACTACGTCTTTCAATCAAGCGGACGTCTGCTTGTAAGACGAGATTAGAATTCTAAAATTTACAAAATTATACCGTGTGTTTTGATAACATAACCTATAAAAATAATTGCGACTTATACAAAGAGAAAGTATAAAAATTATTATGTACTTTACAAATTAAATTAAAAACTCTAAATAAACAATAATTTATAAGTTTTAATCATGATTTTAATTGAAGAAAGTTTAAAATTTATAACATACACCGAATTAATGAAAAATTGACGAAAATTTTTGATACACAAAAAATAATTAAATAAAAATTGCACTGTACTTCAAATCATTAAATAATTGAAAACAATAGAAATTTAATATCAAAAACACACAATTTACATGAATTAACTGCAATTATTAAAATGGAAATATTGTTTTCGACAATCTAACCTTAAAAAATGAACGTATAGGCAACGAATTGAAACATGTAATTTGATATAAAAAAAACAAAAAGATAAATGTAATTTATATTAATAAACAATAGTAGAGCTTATTAAAACATCAATGAAAGGTGAAATATCAATAAATAATAGATAATTACCGCTTTGTATTCGTATTGAAGCTGTCTCGCTGCTTGGTCCGCCATTTTTGCTTCGCCAACAGCAAGAAGTCGATAATGCAGATTTCCGCGCAATTGGAATGGTCGTTTGTAACGTACACTTAAACAAATATTTAAATATTTGAAAATGATGAAACAAAATTAATTTCTAAAATACGACTTTTAAGTTATTTCAAATAATTCAAAAAGTTTTATTTATCTCTTATCTTCACCTTGAAACTTATAATAATAATTAATTTAACCGATATTGTTAAATATTTCCCATTTTATAAAGTCGTTCTTCTTTCCAATTTAACGCGCCTTTATATTGCCCCTTTAGCATACAACCATACTCACTCGAATGTTGTTAAAAGTGGCGGGAAACAATAACTAAACATAAATAATTTAAATTATTAAAATTAAAAAAAATTTTAGATTTTAGAATACAAAATATTGAATGTTATTTACCAAAGGAGAGTTTGTTTTTCTAATGCAGACGGATTTTTAGGAAACTTTTTTTTTTTTTTTAGGAAACTTTATTTTTAAAAAACACATTTAATATACAATAAAAAATACACTATTAAGAATCAATATAATCGTATACACTAATCTCAAAAATATCTGTCTTAAATTTGTTCTCTTTTTTTTTTTTATAAAACTCGATTAATAATTAGTGACACAAATAAAACTAATAAACTAATGACACTTAATGGTGATGATCCAGAACATTTTTCTGCATCGATCATCAATTTTTGATAAGCCATCACAGAACGAACTTCAGATTCTGAAGATTCTAAACCAACTGTTGAATCTTTAAAAAGTAAATCTTTCGTCCCATTGAAACTCTTGTAAATGTTAAATGAAGTTCGTTCATTTGAACCCAACCATGCATTTAATTTCAATAGAGTTAATGCCATATTTGAATGTTCAATTTGTGAAATGTCCTTTCTTGACACTATCTGGAAATTTAAGAGAAAAAAAAAAGAAATTAAATATTATTGTTATTTATTTAAAAAAAATTAATTTAACATTAAAATATTTACCTCACTGTCAATAGTGATAGACCAAGCACAATTTTCATCAACATCAAATCCAGTATTACTTGCAAGAGATCCATTTTTACACAAAATACGATATTCATGTTGATTTACAAATGCAGTAGAATCTAAAAATTTGATTAACAATTAAAAATTGAAGGAAAAAAAAACACCAATTTTTTGTAATTCAATTTTTCCTGATAAATTTACCATTTAAATTTTTTGGCTTAACAAATGCAATATCAGCAACTCCATGTTCAATACAACGAAATGCGCCATTATCACGGAAAAATGGATTATCATCGTTTGCTCGACAATTATTTTGCGGACACAATGAACACAATGCGGTTACATTGGCTTTTGTTGTTTTTTGTAATGTTGAATGATCACTGTCACGTATTCCAGGTACACATGCTTCGCTAAAAATATCGTTTGCAATTTTTTTGAAATCACAAGTTTTCAAATCATCATGTACTTTATTGACGCGTATAACATTAAGGAATGTCATCCAAGAAATTCCACCATACTCCGGAAAACATGCTTTCTTTCCCTTTAGATCTTGAAGACTTTGAAATTTCGATGATGATGTGTCTTTAATCATTGCAAATACAACGTTACTCTTGTCGTTATCATTGTCAGCATAAAGTACAGTTGACAGGCTGAATAATCTAGAAAAAAAAGAATTATTTGTTTACTATTTTTTTTTTTCTTCAAAATTTTCATTTTACTCACTTTCTAGCGACATATCCATAATTCGAATCAATTGTCGTGATGTCAGTTTGCTTTTGACTAATACTACGCAGACATTCAAATGTTGAAATTTCTCTACCGCAAACAATTTTCGGAGTAATTCCAAGAATATCGGATTCAGCGGCAACCCATTGGCATTTTTTATGCTCCAATTCACTTGTCGTGCACCATTTTATTTCTCTGCCGCACACTGGATTTTTACCAAAATCAAAATCAACTTTTTTGTACGATGGCAATGCTATATGCCTATATTGCTTTTCATTGCCTAATACAATTTTTCTTAATGCATCAGTCCAATCTCCAAAGTTAGATGTTAACCAACCGTCTAATTTATTTGGCAAATCCAATGTGACGTCTCTAAAATAAAAAAAAAAAACAATCCCAAATAAATTAAAAATTAAAATTTTTTAATTTGAATTAATAAATTAATTTTTGTTTTAAATTTTATTTATTTAAAACGTACTCTCTTGATACGATTAAATCCCAAGATCGTTTACTCCAAACACATGGATTGTGGTCATTAAAAGAAGTAATAGTTCCATTGGGACATAACATTTGGAACATATTTACCTGCGATGGAAAATTACCCTGAAACATGTGATTATTAATTATTATTTAATAATATATGATTATCAATTAACATTTTTTTTTTTTATAAATCACAGTAAGTTTCTCATAAAAAATGTAAATTTAAATAAAATTGATTTATCGAAATTATAAATAAATAACAAAAATAAATATAAATAAAAAGTAAACTAAAAATTTTTTTTATCAATTTTTTCTGGATTAATATAAAAAAAAAATGAAGACACATACAATATAATCTTGAACGTGATTGAGTGCCACGTAGGCGACCTTTCCTTTATTATTCTTCAAACAATTTAGAGCACCAATATGTCCATGATCATATTTATCTTTATATGAACATGCTAAAGGATTGTCACAAAGGGAACACAATTCTGGATAACGATTTTCTATAAAAAAAAATATATATATAATATAATAAATTTAAAACAAAATATAATTAATTAACAAAAAAATTATTAAGTTTAATTTAATAATCTTATGGAAAATTAATTATCTTACTTAAAATTTTATCCAATGTTGTATTAGAGACCCAAGGTCCTGGTCGACAGCTTTGTCCAAAGAAATTTTTCAAATTTATAAGCTCATTTTCAGAATCAGTATAATCCTGCCTACATTTATCTCCATAAATTGTTCTCTCAAATTGTTTTAAAATATTATCATTCAATAATTGAGTTTCCGAAAATCCTGGATGACACAAATTACCACCTTTCAGAGAATTGAAATTATCATTAGTAATTTCATGTGATATTGATACCAAAGCAACCATTTGAGTTTGATAGAAATCTGAAAATTAAGTTCAAAAGAAATTTTAATTTTTTTATAATTAAATTGGAGAAAAATTAATGTTTATTATATTATACCATATTGTTTTTCATGATGTCGTAATTCAAAGAGAGAACGTATTCCATTTGAATAAAATTTATCAGCCAAATAAAGTACATCGCCAGTTAAAACACCAAAATCAACTTCATTATTAATTAATTTGTGTACACAATCAACGCCATCCAATACACTTACACATTTTACTTCACTGTTTCCTTGCTTTAAATTTTCGCACAAATTTTTATTGACAGACGTTGGTTGACATACTCTATCTGAAAATTATTTCAATTATAAAATTAAATTAAAATTAAAAATAAAAATTAAATTTTCAAAATATATTTTTTATGACAAACTTCTTTCATAGAAGATAGGAAAAAAATTAATAAAAACCTAAAGAAAGGAAGAAACATTTTTTTTTGAAGAAAAAAAAAATTTATAATAGATTATTTGTATTTAATTAAAGTAATATGATGATCTTGAAAAAAAACCCACAGGTGCGTAGGGCGTCGCCTTGGTATCAAGATAATCAAACGTTATCGCATTTAGACGATTACATTGAAACTCGAATAACACAAAACATAAAATCATAATGCCAAATAAAACGTAAAATAATATTCAATCAATATTTATATTATTGCCACTTCATCATATTTAATTTACTTGGCTATCAAGAAAATTTCATATAGAATAATTTATATTTATCAAATAAAAAAATAAAAAAAATTGATAAAAAAGAAAAATTATATAATACGAAACGAAAAAGATTACATCTAACATTATTTCAAAAATATTAATTAAAACAAAATTAATACTATTTTTTTTCTCTTTTATTTTTTTTAAAAAATAAAAATTATTTATTAAATTCAAAGTACCGGTTTTTTGATTCCAGTGATAGAATTATTTTTTTTAATAATAGTAAAAATATTAATTTTTGAATTTAAGAAATATATTTTTTAAAAAATAAAAAATATATAAAAAAATTAATCACATCTTATATTTGTATAAAATGAATTTAAAAGAGATAAGAAAAATCTGCAATATAACTTACAATCTGTACGCGCTGATATCAAAGTTCCACAAAATAAAGTCACTAAAATCAAATTCCACATTTTGAAGGAAAATTTGCAAATTTTTGAAAATTTATCACTGAACACAGCATCCAAAATATATCATACACGAAGAAATAAATGAAAAAACAAAAAATTATAAATTTTAAATTGAAATGAAGTTTTCTTCACCACAGCGAGACTTCTTCACTTCTGATAATGATTTCGATAAGAGAGAAAGAGTGAATGTGGTGTTGCTCACGCCCTGGAGTTCACACCGTGTGTGCTGATGATTCACCTATATTCATATATAGATAAAATAAGACACGTTTTTTTTTATCCATTATTTGTTACCTCTCCACCTTAGTCTCACATCCGGTCTAATAACGTCAATATATATAAATAAAATATAAAATTTGATTAGTTGAAATATGTGCGCGCACGATGAATTTCCAGAAATTCCCCCAATGATTCAAAATCAATAAACCTAAAACTAATTTCAAACAATTCCCCTTTATATACTATATATATATGTATATGTAAATTTGTATTTTATATATAATTCAATAAAAATTAGAAAAAAAAAATTGATAAGAAATTACAATTTTTATTTTTAATTATTGGAAAATTAAAAATGAAATTCTTTTCCTTTATTTAATAATTTTTAGCAATATTAGGAAATTTCAAAAATTATGTGAAAAATATTTCAAGTTAAAGTAGATATATATATATATTTTTAGATGATTGTTTGTAAAATGACTCATATACGAAACAAAATGATATGTGAAGAAGAGTTAAAATACCAAAAGAGAACGTGTTCAAAATTTCTAAAAAGATTTGTTTTGTTATTCGAGAAGAAATTCAGAATGTTTCAAATTTTATAATACTTTTATTTTTATGAGAACGCGAAGAAAAAGTTTTTTTTCTTGAAAAAAATGTAATATTTAGAAACTTTATGAATAATAAATTTTTATTATTATTAATTTATTTACTTCTTTCCATTTAGAATTTCAAAAAATTAATTATTTCTAGTTATTTTCAAAAAAATTTAACATTAAATTAAGGATCAATTCTTCAATGTGAAATTTCTTTCATTCATATAGAAAAGTATATAAAAGAATCACTCAAGGGAGAAAAATTCCTTTTGCCACAATAACAATGCTGCATTTTTTTTCTACCAAACAAAGAACTGAATAATTTTTCAAAAATTTACACATTTATATAAAAGAAGCGTGTATTGTGGACTATTATTGAAAAAAATAGAAAAAAAAAATCATGTTGTGTTCTATTATTCGTTTTCATTGCTCTAGGTATATTATATAAATAATATAGAATAAAAAATATATAATACAAATTGAAAGAAAGAAAATTTTTCTTTTTTTTTTTTTGTTTTAAACATATCAAAAATTGTACCTGATTAAGAAGATATTGCAAAATTTCCTCCCTTTGTTTGAGTGGATGTCACGAAAATTGCCTTATCACAAGTTTGCGATGGAATTCCAAACGTGTCCTGATTCATCTGATGAGCTCAGAAAACTCTGTCATCATATTCTGTAAGAAAATCGAAAAGATAACATTTTTTTTTAATAGCGTTTAATAAATATATGTAAAAATATACCTTCAATTTTGTGGTTGCATTCATCAAGAATTTCTTTACGATGGCATCGAAGATTGTGTCGATGGAACTGATGAAAATAAAAATATTTGCGAAGCAATCAATTACATTGGAGTGGCATGCAAAAAATTCTATATAAATTCACAGGAGAAATTGGTTTAGCATCTGGTAACAATAAAAAAAAAAAAATTAAAATTATTTCGAATAAATTTCTTCGAATATAATTTTTCTTAATTAATTATTGTGTTTATAATTTAATTGTCAATAAAGAAAATATATAATAATACTTCTAAATAAATACCTACCTCCGTTAAAATTTATTTTATCGAAATTTAATGAGTTGATTATAATTATTATTAACAACCTACATAAATCCTGTAAAAATTCAAAATTAAAAGAAATTAATAATCTTCCTTTATTACATTTTTCCACTTCTTTATTGGGCGTCCGATACATATTAACGAATACAATTCTTTTGAAATACATGCTTCAGTACTAAAGCGTGATTTAGAATTCTTAAAATCTATTTATACAATAAAATCTAAATTTTCGCTTTTCATAAATGTTGTTAAATTATTATTGTTACATATATATTCCTGAAACGTGTCTTTCGAAAAAAAATCGATTCTTTTCTTGGTAATAGTGCCCTATATAAATATATATATATAAATATTTATATATATATATACTTACTTCCAACATACAATTTATAAAGTATAGCATCATTCATTTATCACATATCAAAATTATATTACATCGTAGTTATGATTTCCTGATAAACTGAATATTTTACAATAAATTCGATATTATTCAATAATAATAATTCATGTTACATGAAAGTACAACTAGCCGCGATTTTATTATCAAATTAATGTATTAACCAATTAATTTATTAATAAATTAATTAAATAACTAATTAATCGTAAGAAATAATCAAATAATTTTAATAAATGTGATTTTTTTTTAATATTTTAAATAACGATTTTTAAAATTAAATATCTCATAAATTAAAACTATTTTCAATTTTTATTTGAATCAAAAAAAATCGTGGCTAGCTATAATTTCATGTTTGAGAGAACTTTTTTTACGAACATACAAAGAGTATGTGACACAATATAAAAAAAAATATATCTATCTTTCTTTTTTAATTAAAGTCGAAAATTATATAGAATAAAGTATGAAATAAAAGCACCAATTCGTTCTTAAAAATGTCTTTACACACAATATTAAAAGCTGTACAAATATAATGAGGTGTAAAAAACTGTTTTCATTTTCATTTAAAAAAAAAAAAAAAAAAATATTCCCCAAAAAAAGACAACTCTTTTGCTTTATTTCATCCTTTACTCGTATAACCAACATTTTTATGCGCAGCATAATAATTGAAATTGTTTCCAATTTTTTCCATTAGTATTTTTTTGTTTTGCTTTTTGTTCGATTGGTTTCGTTCAAAAAAAAAATTTTTTTTTTTTTTTTACTTCTTTATAATCTATTTTTAGAGCGAGTCATGCAATTTCCTTAGTGAACTTATTTATACTATACTATTCTTTACATTATCTTTAATATAGTAAATTATAAATTATAATAGTAGAAAATCGGTGAAGACATAAAAAAAATTTTTTAATTCAAATTTTCAAAATAATTCACCTGTAAGAAAATTTAAAAAGATAATAATAGTAATTTAATAACTATTGAAAGTAAATTATCTTATAAGATATTCAAACAGATTGATTGACAAAAATGCTTTTTTTTAGTAAAAAAAAAAAATGAACAACTCATTTTTTTCTGTAAAATATTTTCAAACACCGATAATCTACATTTTTTTTATTTTTCTCTTTCACCCATATGCACAAACACTCTCTCACTTTCTCTCTCACTACTCGAAATACTAAACTTATTGATATTATCTTAATTAATTGATTATATTTATATATTTATAAAATTAAACACGCCAGACAATCCATAAATTTAGGTCAATTGTTAATTATAACAAAGGCAACTGATTGATCACAATAAAAGACATATTGAAACGTATATAAGAGACTTCATGGAAAATTAATTCCCTTTTTTTTTAAAAAAAAATTTCTTTACACAGAAAAGAAATATTTAAATAGAATTCAGTATTTACTTAATAATTAGAGGATTTTTACTTCTTAATCAACTTCTGGCTTTTAAGCGTGACTAATATTGACCTAATGTATATAATATATATATAAAATTAAGTTAGCACATTAACTGCCACATAATAACTTACATATATATATATATATAATTATAAATTTCGAATAAAGAATAAAAAAAAAAATGAAACAAAATATAAAATTACATATTTTTTTTTTTTAGATTTTTCTTTTGACTGTTATTCATAAGAAGTTAATTTCTTTTTTTAAACATGCATTATTTTAAGATTATATTACTAAATCATATATTTATTTTAATTGAATTTTTTTTTTAATATTTCATAAATTTGAATTAAAAGTTTATGAATTTATTATGTTAGTATATTTTTTTTCTCTTTTTGTATCAAAAAAATCAATTATATATTTTTTGACAATATTTTTTTGAAAATAGAACCTGGCAATTAACGCGATAACATTTACAAATGATTTGAATATAAATTCAAATCCATTGTGCAGTCTATGGGAATTCGAAATACCTAAATTGTTGTTGTTTCTTTATTTTGCATTATTTCACACACCTATTTCTCTCGGTAAATATATTTCTAAAAAGTTTAGTTCAATTATTTTTTCTTGACAGTAAAAAGCGTAAAAAGTATTTTAATTATTATTATTATTTTTTTTTTTTTATTAAAAAAGTGATGATGTAAATTCTCAATCTAATACATAAAAAAATATTACATTGCCTGCCATTACTTTAAAAAAAAATAATAATAGCACTGCATGTATTATTTTATTTAAATGTAATGAATTTTCCAAATTTTTGGCTTTTTAGATTATCTTTATCTTATTTTTATCATTATTATTATTATAATCATTAGCAATCAATATCATCATTATTATTATTATCATAATTATCATAATCACTATCATCCCTATTATTATTAACATTATCATTATTATCAACATTATAATCATCACAAAAGCTGTCAATAATAAAGCTATAAGAATAATCGAAAAAAACTGTTTGACAAATTATTTTTCTGCATAATTGACAAATAGTTAAGAAATATAAAAATCTGGTAACCCTTTTGACTTGGAATTTGAAAAAAAAATCTCAACGTTTCATCATTCAAGCGTTAGTTAATAGGAACAATTTTCTGTTTTACATCACGAGGTTTATTTTTTATTTTTTTTTTTTTACTTAAAATCATTAGATTATGTTAATTGTTATCATCATTATCAGTACAATATTGAGTAATCGCAACCATATTTTTTTCATAATCATCGAGAAATTCAATTTGATTTTTAAAAATTCTCAAGATATTAAATAGGTTTTGAAAACAAATTATCAAAATTAATTAAATTGATTTAATTTAATTTAAAAGTCTTCAAGAGATTTAAACTTTTTTTTTCTAACTAATCATTGTCTCGAGTGAAGGAGTATATTTTTTCAATGCAATATTAATAAATATAGTATAACTTGAGCTGTATTGTTAACTACATTATCACCTCGAAAGGTTATTGGCGAGAGTTTTGTATCGAAAAAAAAATTATTGAGATAGGTGTGTGCATTTTAATAAAGTACCATTATATTATAATTAGTAGGAAAAATGTAATCCTACCGATGATTTTTCATTTTTAATATAATATTTTTAAAAAAATTCATTCTTCCTCATCAAATTTCATGGCATCAACAATACTAATAATTGTTAAATTATATTTATAACTAATATACAGTACGTGTGTCAAACCTTTCGTTTACGAAGTTTTGCTTGAGCTTCTTTTAGTAGCAAATCAAAAGTGTGATCATCTCCTCCTCCTCCACCTCCACCACCTCCTTTTAACATATTTCTACCACCGTATGAATTACCTGGCGCTCCATCTAAAAAATAATTTTTTTTATTATTATTATATTATTATTAATATTATTCAATATCATTATTTTAATAATTTGAAATATTAAATAATAATTTAACTTACCGAGATCAGCGTATTTTACTTTGCAGAACGCTCGACGTCCACCAAAACATAAATCGTATCGAGGTAAAGAAGGATTTTCATTACCGCGTTCAACAGCTTTGTAAGCGTCGCTTTTATAAGCGAATGTAACAAAACCATAATTGTCTCTGCAAAAATATGTCAAACTTAAAAAATACAATAAAAAAATATATTTTTCAAAAAATAATTAAATATAAACATATCTAATTATAATAATTATAATAATTTATAATAATCTCATCATATCAAATAAATTTTATTATTAAATCTTAATCTTTGTTTTTTAAATAAAATTTTTTACAAAAAAAAAAATAACGAATAAAAATCTCACCCATGCTCTCGGAAATGGACACTGATATCAACAACAGGACCAAAAGTTTCGAATCTTCTTCTCAAGTCAGCTTTCGTTATTCCCTCCTCGAGTCTTCCAACGTAAATTACTCTTCGCTCCTCAACTTGTCTTTGCTTTTCTCTATCATACCAACCATCGTATGGTCTTCTATACGAACGAGAAGTAGATCTAGAAAAATATATTTATTTTCAAAAATTTGTCTCCTTATAAAAGTGTCAGAAAAGAAATACAAATCTCAACAAAATAAATCTTTGTTAATAAATTGTTAATTACTGATAACAACTTTTATTAATCTTCGCTATTTGTATTAACATTGGTGAACCTATTAAACATTTATGTTTACAGATAAATTTTTCGTCTCCATGTCAAAATTCATTCAATTTAAATTAATTTTCCATATAAAAATAAACTTCACAACAATATTCTAACAAAAAATAATTTTACAACAATTATAAATTAATTTTATCAGTTAGTTATATTAGTTTAATTAAATAAAACATTAAAAAAATATATATGAATATTAAAATTAATTTAAATGAATGAGAAAAATATATTAGAAACAAAAAATATTGCTTTTTAATAAGGAATTTTTTTTTTTTTTTTTTTTTTTGCAACTGTAAACATATTGTTTTACCTCCTCGAATTTCTGTTGTCGTTACTACTACCAGAGGAGCGACGCCTGCTCCTATCATAACTTCGTTTCCGCTCGCGGTTTTCCCATCTTCGTCGACCTGACCATCTACTCCTTGTGAAAATAGAGCGAGACGACAACCTATAATCACGCGATATCTCCGAAACTTAAATCCCTCGATCAAAAAAAATCCGATAAAAAAATACACACACTTTTTTAAATTTCACCACATACCTTTAAAAAAAAAAAAAAATTTCAAAATAATCGCGCACCTCTACTAAATTTTTAGTTGATTCAAAACTCACCTATATATATAATTTAAAATATTCAAATCTCAAGGAAAAAAATTAATTTTTAAAATAAATTTCGAAATAATAAAAATAAAAATTATTATATACCTTGAGCAACTGGAGAATCGTGACGATGATCGTGATCTGGATCTTGATCTCAGTCTTGATTTTGATCTCGATCTTGATCTTGATATCGATCTTGAACGGGAGAATCTCGGTGAACGTGAACGTGATCGCGATGATCTTGTTCTAAAACTAGATGATGATTTTGTATATGATCGTGATGACCAACTGCTACTTGAACTAACTGAACTGCGACGATGACTTATTCGTCGACGACGTTCTGGTGTTCGTCGACATGATCGACTTTTACTTCGGCTACGATTTCGATTTCTATTTCTACTTCTTATTCGACTTCTACTTCGACTTCGGCTACGTGATAACGATCGACTTGATTCTGATGATCCTCTTCTTCTGTAATTTCTCACTTTTTTACTCGTTCGAATTCTGTAATTTATTTTTCAAATTTGTAATTTATACGTATATATATATTTAATATTATTTAAATTGAAAAAAAAAATTTACCTTTCATCAATATCCTTGGCTGAATTATTCGATTCATTATTTGAACAATTGGAAGAACTGATTTTTTTATTTGTTTTTTCAATGGATTTACTTGATTCATCTGATTTACCTTTAATTAAAAGATTCTCAGGTGATTTAGTTGAATTTTGCTCAACTATTCGTTTATTTTCAATTGGTGATTTATTTTCCAGTTTATTTTCAATTCCTTTATTCTCAACTAAAAGTTTATTATCAATTTTTCTCTTATTCTCTATTGTCGATTTACTTTCAATACGTTCTTTATTTTCAATTGAGGTATTATCACGCTTATCTATTGGTTTATTTTCAATTTTTCGCTTATTTTCAATCAATGTTTTACCTTCAATTTGACGACGATTATCATTTGATTTTGATTCAATTTGTTTATCAAATGATCGTTTATTATCAATTCCTCGAATACTAACACTACTATTAGTACTACTACTACTATTTGTCATTAATCGTTTATCAATTAATCGTTTTCCATCTGTTGATCTTTCAATTTTCTTAGAAATCACTGGCGCAGAATCGAAATTTGATCTTGGAATTTGATTGAAAACAGTTTCATTTGTTTGAACTGATGCGTCGCGAACGGCGGGTTTTGTATCGACTTTTATTTCTTCAATTTCTGATTTTGGTTTTAAAATTGATACAATTTCCCTCTCGGACCAAATGACATTATCGTGATCAGTTTGAATTGGATCAGTAGTGGTTGACGCGTGATAAATATAAACCAATGTCATTGGTTGAATTGGTGAATTCGTACGACTATTGTCGCTACGATTTTGTTCACGTCTACTTCTATATTCGGCGAGATTTAATTTTTTACGTTGTGGCAATAGTGGTTTCTTTTCATTCTCCTGTAATGAATCAATTGATTGTGTTTGAACAATTATATTTTGTACTTCATTATTTAAACTATTTGTAGTTGTCACAATACTCTCATTTGATTTATTGCAAACGAGAGTTTGAACCGTTTGTGATGATGATGATGATGATGATGACGACGATGATGATGATGGTGGTGGTGGTTTTTTGAGTACAGAAATCATTTTTTGTGGGCCCTCAATTGATTTTGTTTTTGTGATAACTCCTCCTTTACGTGTTTGAAGAATACTTGTTGTCACGGCGGGTCTTACTTTCATTTCCGTAAATTGTTTCTTCACTGTTGTGGTAATTGTTGATGTGGTTTTATTTTCTTTGATTGGTGACACTTTATTGTCAACAATTTGTGTAATTTCAACTTTCTTTAGGGAAAATTGTTTTTTCTTCACTTTTTCCGTGGACAATTCTTTAGAATCAATTTTTTCTTCTCTTGTATTATTATTCTGTCTTGGCGATTCTAAAATATTATTTTTCTTCATCTCATTATTGTCAATTGAAAGAACGCTATTTAATTTATCGTTTATTATTTGACGTGTTGATTCAATTTTTGCAATTTTTTTCGTTATCTTTTTCACTTTTGGTTTAGAGGAAGTTTTACTCTTTGAATTTATTGTATTGCCATTACTGCAATAATCGTGATCCAATTGAACTGATCCTTCCAAAGTATTATCTTTGTTTGACACCTGTTTAAATAGAAAATTTCATTTAATTTCAATGTTAAATGAAATTTTTTAAAAAATTTTTATTTATTTTTTTGGAGCTGAATTTTAGTTTTAAAATTGTTGTTACTTTTACTGAATTGTTACTTTATAAGGTGTATTCCTTTCCTTTATTTTGATGAAAAAATATTTTTTCCATTAATTAACAAAAAAAAAAAATGTTTTAAAAATAAGTAACTTACTATTTTCAGTTGTTTATTCCGGGAGTTTGTGGCGTCTGAATTCTGCATTTTTGTTCCTTTGCAACGAACGCCAGGTTTCTTCTCTGGCAATGCTGGTATGACTGATATAGGTTTCTTGCGATTTGAAGCCTGTTATATAAGAACTTTGATTCTCAATTCCGTTTCAAGCATTCAAATTATTTCCAAACAGGAATTGGACAGTTTTTTTTAAACTCAAATTTTTTCAAGAGCAAATAAAATTAAATTTTCAAGAAATTAATTAAAAAAAGAAATATAATTTAAATTTTAAATAATATTAAATAAATAAAATTATTATTAATTCTTTTGATATTATTGTTCAATTATTTTTTATTTCAAAATTATATTTACCTGTATCCTGTCAATAACTTCTTTGGGAAGTGTTTTTTTGACATCACGCTGAAGATTTTCTTGAATTTTCGCTGATTTCTTTGGGACATTCTCGTTGACTTTTATTGTCGTTTTCTTCTCAGATTTTCGTTTCTTTGTGGGAGGAAGTTCAATAGCATCTTCTTTAATATTCAAAATTTCTCTTTTCTTCTTTTTCTTCATTTCTTCTTGGCACAATTCTTTAGTATCATTTATCATTGATAAAGAAGATTCTGGTACTATTTCAGAAGCCTCAAATTGTTCAAGAAGATCAGTGACATCACCAGCTTCCAAAACTGAAGAAATTTTTACAAAATTATAAAATTATAATTCACTCAACAATTATAAATTTATTAATAATTTTAGAAATTACCTGACGATGTTTCTATTAAATCTATATCATCCAAAAACCAATTATCATCACCTAAATCTTCGGCATAATTAATTTCCTTTTTTACTTCAGTTTTAATTTTCTGTTTGCCTAAATTTTTTCGTGTTCTTTTACTTTTATTTGTCTCTTCATTAATCTCTTCAATGGGACAATCAAGAGCACTACTGCTACTACTTGCCTCTAAATCATTGACTAAATTTAAAGATGTCTTTAAACTTTTATCATCTAAGTTTAAAAAAAAAAATTGTAAATTAATTATTATCTAATTGATAAATATTTTAATAAATATTTTAAATAAAAATTTATAAATTTCTTTTTACATAATATATTCCTACCAAGAATCTTTTTTTCCGATTTTGATGGAGGATGAAAATCATCATCAAATATGTTTTCGGGTAGAACAGGATATCTTGATGTAGGACGATCAATGTCCAACGAATTCATTCGTTCCTCAAATTCACATGTCTGCCAATTAATATATAAAAAAAAATTTTAAATATTGAAAAAAATATTATGTATATTTTTTTCACTTTGTTTGAGTTAAAACTGACCTCTAAAAAGCCCAAATGCTCTTGCCAATCATTGAGAACTTTAGCAAAATCTTCGCTTAAACTCTCCATTTTTGGATAGACTGAAGCAACTCCAGAAACTGGTAATACAGCCATATCACCATTGAGTCTAGGTGGAAAAATTAGTATTTTATTAGAAAACAATTTTTTTTTAATTATACATTTAAATTATTTTTATTTTTAATTTTAATTATTTAAAAAAAAAAAACTTACTCCTGTTCCGATCCCCAGGACAAACCACTTGTGTCCAATTGATTTTCCATGTAATCAAAATCGCTCTCAACAACTTTAAGTAAAGAGCCTTCTTCACATAATGGAGTTGGAAGTGGATTTGGCATCACATAATCATTCTGTAAAAACAGCTCGAACTACCAAGTTGTTCGTAAAACGTAAAGATTAAAACCAAGTATATAAACACAAAACTAAATAATAATAATAAAATAATAATAAATGCATTCAAATATAAAATTTAGAATTAAAACCCAAAAAAATATATATACAAAATGTAAAATAAATAATAAAACAAATATTAAAAATTCTAAATATCGAAATAAACAAAACTTTTATTTATGCTTCTTATAAGAATTAAAATCTAATAGCACAATAATATTATTAAATATTTAAATAATGTTATTTATTCTTTAAATTATGTTTTTTATTTGTGATAAAATTCATTCGCAAACATAAATATAATTTACACAACTAATTTGCATAACTAAATAATATAATATTTAAATTCACTAACACAACAGGTAAAAAATTAATCAGAATGATAAATACCAAAAAAAATAATTTTAATTTTAAAATGTAAAAATATTTTAAAAATATATATTTTTTTAAAATATAGAACAATGACAATAAGTAATTAATTAGTAGTAAGAATTTCCAAACTTTCAAAACAATTAAATTTAATTAAAATTAAATTAATAAAAAATTAATTCGTATGAAAAAAAAATTGAAATAATATTAATTACCTGCTCCATAATCGATAAAGATGGATAGCGTTGCTGCTCATCACGCATATTTAAATAATCAGTCTCCATCTTTAATTGTTATAACAATAACTTTTTAATCTAAAATAAAACAAAATACATTTTAGATATTGACAAAATTTTAATAAATCGATTTTTAAAAAATTCTTGTATGAAATATATACTCAAATAAAATTCAATTATTATTTTAATTTAAAAAAAAAAATAATTTTATCTAATGAAAATTTTAATTATTGGTATTTACAAACAATAATAGTGTGAAAATATTTCTTTTTTATTTGCCAATTTTAAAAAATAGAAATTCCTTTCTTTAAAGAAATATTAAAAATTTTAAATTCATAAAGTATAAAAAGTAATTTCTTTTTTTATTTAAAGAGATAAAAAAAATGATTATTTAATAAAGAATCATGAGGGAAATAATAATATAATTAATTTTGTACGAGAATTGGTAAAAATGGTTTTCCCTAAATTGTTCGACTTGTTAAAAATGGTAATTCCTACAATTTCACCTAAGCAGGTACACGGTCTACGGATGCAAATTTACAGAAAGGTATCAAACAAAAGTGATATTTTACTTTAAAAGCCACGCCCCTTTAAGCTTAACATAAAAGAATTAAGGTAACATTATGAATAGGACATAGAGTCATTTCTCTTTTATAAATTACAGGGATACTATTTAGTGCTAAAAGAGATAAGGGAAAATGAGTTTTGAAACTTTTCAGAGAAAATACCAAGTATCTCTAAAGAATAGCAAATAAACAAGTATGGAAAATTTATAAGAATTTTGTTAGATGAAGAAAAAATTTTTGGCAAATTATAATTTTAACTTTTCATAATAATTAAAATGTAATTAAATTTTACATTTACCTTTAAACTTTTTCAATTTAATGCTAATTAGAATTTAATTATAGGAATTTAACATCATTATTACAGGAATTCCTTTTGAGAAAAAAAAACTAATTGTTTACAATATTAATCCTGAATAAAATATTGATTATTAAACAAAAATTTTAAAATAAACAATAATAAATTATTATAAAAGTCCCTTCAAATACGTAAAGCATAAAAAAATTATAAACTAAGAAATTAATATGCAAAATAATTTTTCTAAAAATAGTTAAGAAAACAAATCAACAAGTAATGTCAATGCTAATAAGTGTTTACATTTTCGAATTTTATTGATAAATTACAAAGTATATGATATATGAAAATAATTGCATAAAAAAACCAATGAGAGCATGATTTCGTAATAATTAATAGAACTTGAATAGTGAAAATATTACAAATTTTTACGTCTTAATAATAAACAAAAGCAAAACAAGATTGTATTACAGTTGAAGAACAATCAGTTTAAAAAAATAATCAACAAATGCTAAAGAAACAAGAACAAGACTGGATTCTTGAAAGTAGAATAGCAAGCGCATGTGAAACTTTGAGGTTATGGTCACTCAAGTACCCAACAAGATTTTTAAATGTAATAATCAATATTAATTTAAATTAGTTTACAATCAAAAGTAAAGCAATAAATATTATATAAATATAAATTAATGTAAATTATTAATTTTTAGGAGCAACTCACCAAAAAAATGTTAATTAGTTCTCAGGAGGTTAACAAGCATGCTGACTGTACAGACCGTACAGACAATGGTACAGATATGTATCAATAAATATTATACACATGAAACTCACATTAAATCTCAAATGGAAACTGTTTTTCAATGAAAATCACTCGTAGACTGCCAAATAAACACAATATATACCTTATGTAACGATAGTAAGCCGAAAATTGTGATTTAATGTGTCGCTCACGTAGCACCCACACATATTGTTGCATACTATGAGGTTACATATAATTCTTATAACAATAATCCAACTTGAAAAAAGATTCACCAATTGAGAAACTATTATTGTATATCTTTAGTTATGCACTTTGTTAACGACATGTCAAACTACACACTTGTCTCCAAATAAAAGCGTTATTTTTATACACGTGTTTCCGTGTCACTACATTATTGCATTGCCAACATCGTCTTTCAAAAAACGCACATTCACTTAATCCATAGAAAATTGTACTGACAAATTCACTTGGAACATTTACTTTTCAAAAAAATATGCAATTTCAAAACAATAAAATATAAATTTTCGCCACATAACACTTTCCCGGTTGGTCTTCATGGACCCGACATTTATCCGGTTTTAACCACTGAACAAATATATTTCGAGATGACCATCCTCAATTGTCATCATGGTCATCATTGTCAAGAAAACTTATTAGCCAATCAGATCTTACTTTCATTTTTCTAATTCGAGTTCCTTGAAGTTCCGCCCATTTTTGCAATATTTCAAAGATGTCATCATTTAATCAAATATTAAAAATAATTATATTAAAAATTATTAACTTAATTAATTATAATTTCTTTTAAAAATTATTAAATAATCTGTTTTATTATTATTTTGAAAAACGAAAGAAAAACTTCCAGTGCGCAGATTGGATACGATTTGGCGCTTAAATTTAAATATCCAACGTTTGATATGAATAAATAATAACTAATGATATTTCCAATAAAACAAAAATTAAAACTTCAATTTACTTATGTAAATTTTGATTTTTGTAATTATTTATTAATTGAAGATTAGCGGTGTTAAATTGTTTTTATTTTAATAAATAAATAAAGCACGCATGCGTGAGTTTCTACCGCGAAACATCGCAAAATCAACACAAAATCAATATGGCTTCCGAATTGATAGGCCGGTAAATAATTATTCTGGATATTAAAATCTTTTTGAATTTTCATTAATATCGTGACACTCAAAGCAGCATGATTATACACTGATTCAGGTAAATTATTATTTATAATTCATCATTTGTATTTAATTTTAGAAAATCAGCGTCAAAGTATCTTTTTTTGTGACTATTTTTTTATTCTGTTTATAATAAAGAAAAATGTAAACACTGACTCATTATTTTGTTATTATAGTTATTTTTTAAAATTCTATTTAAATATATGTGTACAACGTAATTATATTTTATATTCATTGTTATAATTTTATTTTATCAATTTTTTTTTTATTGGAAATTAGAAATCATAATATCTTAACCTCAAAAAAAAATGGCGGTATCATTTTTTGCAAAAATAATTACGCTTTTTTATTTAAAAAAAAAATTTCAATTTTATTGTTTAGTATTGATTAATAGAATAGATTATTCTTTTTTTAGATAATTAATTTTTAAAAACATTTTTTTTAATATATCAATTTGTTTTTATTATTGTATTTAATTTTTATTAAAATTAATTCTTTTGTAATGTTATTTTTTTCAGGAAATATATGTATAATGAAAGAAAAACAAAAAATATTAACCATTATCTTGAAATTGCAAGATATCCTTGGAAATGAATATCCTGAAGTTCAAAATATTTTCAATAAATTGGTAATTATTTGGATAATTTTTTTTTAAATTGTAAAAATTTGATATTTTTGATATTCTTGTGCTATTTATTTTATTTTTTATTTTATTATTCTAGAAAGTAAAGAAAGATGTTAAACATGCGATTAAGTCAATAAAATCTATTAATGATATAAAAAATTTAATGAAACTTACTCGAGATGATAGAATTCTTCAAACACCAGAAGGAAGAGAATTATTGGTCTATTTGCTCTCAATTGATGAGGAATGGACAATGGTAACTAATTTAATTCTTATTGAAATATTAATTATTAATTAATTCGAAACAAAGTTCATTCATAATAGTTAAAATTTGAAATTGTTGAATTAACCAATTATTAAAATTTTTAATTATATATTTTCTATTATTTTATTATTTATTAATCATTATTTTATTTAAAATTTTTAGGGAATCTATAATAACATTCGAGCTTCATTGGAAACTGCGGATATTAATAGTGTGAAAATTTATGCAATAATATTAATGAATTCCTGGCAGAAAGCAATTGACAATAGAAAAATAATTGAGACATGTTTAGAAAATTTAATTTTTCACTCTCTACGTACCAATAGGGACATTAATGGAAGAGTGAAGCTGGGACAAAATTTGTTAATATTTCTCGAGTGCATTCATCTTCAAAAAAACAATACTATCAAACAAATTATGTGCAATAATTACTATAAATTTATTTGGACATATTTAGAGGTAATTTTATAATATTAATTTTTATCAATTTCTTAATAATTGAGTTTAAATGTGTTTTTAAATTAATTGTAATTTATTATTTTAAGGCTCCTGGATCCTGTGTAAGGTGTAATACAGCAGAAATTCTTTTTATAGCCTATCCAATGTATGTAACCAATGAATTTCGAAAAAATAAAAACGACTTAAAAAGTAATATATATTTAAGCAAGCAACACAAGGCAATAACTAATCTTCTGAGAGATTCGAATACAATTGTTTTATCTGTGGCTTTAAAGGTAAATAAAAAGAGTTTTATTTCAAAATTCACTGAAAATAATGTTAATTTAATGATTTAAAAATTTTTCCATTTCAGGGCATATTTCAAATTTTAGAAAAGTTTTGGACCACTGTACCAATAAAAATAATAAACGAATGGTTGTGCCTTGCTGTTGAATACACAAAAACTTCAAACATTCCAGAAATTAGAAAAAGTGTTATTATGGGTTTTAAAAGTCTTTTGAAAAATTCAAAAAGTCATTCAACTTTAGAGAAATTAATACCAAAATTACTAAACTCTTTATTCGATCCAAATATTGATGTTAAATTAGCGGTACTTGATCTCTTTCTGGAAATAGAAAATTGTACAAATATCTATATTTCAAATGCAGTGTCATTAGAAATTATTGTACATTGTCTAGAGGTGAGTTGATTTAATAGAAAAACAAAATCAAATTCTGTATTTTTTTTTTTAATTTTTTTTTTTTTATAAATTTTAGATGAATTCCCATACGGAAGTGGTGAATTCATTACACAAATTACTGTGGATAAGGATTTCTTTTGCGAAAATCAAGGGAAGAATTCTTAACGAAATAATAGATGCTGGTCAATTAAATATTAATCTATTTCGTGATTTTTTTTTACAATCAAAGGATATTATTTGCTATGAAAGTGCATTGGAAATTTTGGATTTATTATTACCGGAAATTGCGCGTTTAACAGAATCATTAACAGAAACGGAAGTTAATGAAAATTCGAGTGTTACAGAATTAAGTGTTAAAGTGAAAAAAAAAATTTGTGGCAAGTAATTGCATTAATTATTTTCTTTTTTTTTTCCTTTTTTATTTTATTTCAAGTTTTATTTTTCAGGAAATGCAAGTTCACATTTCACTAAATTAGATGTTAATAAATTAACATCAATTCATATTTTCATCGATGCAAGTGCACTTTTATATTTAGTAAATATGGAAAGTTTGATGAAAAATTTACATCAAATTTATGTAAAAGAATTAAATTTGAAAATCGTTGAAAAAATGCAAAACATTTTGGAAAAGTTTCAGGTAAGGTAAAATTGTAATTTTTCTTTTGTAATAAAAGTAATTAAAATAAAAGTTGGTTTTCTTTTTGTAGGATTCGGAATTAAGTGAATTGGCGATCATTTTTCTTTCCTTAATACCAAAAAAATTAATAAAAAATTTAGAAGAATATTTGGAAAAATTTAAAAAAAAATTATTACAGCAAAATGTGTCTGATAATATGATATTATCAATTATACATTTGCTATTTAAATGGGAAGAAGTCGATGATTTACTTGATTTATTACCATGTCTCGTGAAAGATGATGAAAATTTACATCTAAAACTTGTTAGTATAAAATTGTTCATTTTAATTAGAATATATTTTTTTAATTTACATATTTAAAATTAAAAGATACATTTCCTTTAGGATTCTTTCGTGAAAAGTTCATCAATGGATAGAGCTTTGGGTCTCAAAATATTAGAAATAATTATTGATAATAATTTTCTGTGCAATTTTCTACCAAAATATTATGAAAAATTTATTAATTTATGGGAAAATTTACATTTTATTGAAGACTGCATAGAAAGTCGTCTTGAAAATAATAATTTTCCCAATTTATTACCGGACAATGTTTTAAAATCAATTTTTAAACATTACTTGTCCCTTATTCCAATTCTTAATTCCGATAATTTTAAATCTGAAATTCATTTTTCGCGAATTATTATCTGGACACAAGAGTATGTATATTTTAATTCTTTTTTTTCGAATATGTATTTTTTTTCTTATTTTTTAATATAAATTTTTATTTTATAGAAAAATTCTTCCTCGCATATCAAATTTAACGGATCTTGAAGCAATAGGTTTGTTGATAAACTTGTTAAAATTTGTATTAAACACAAGCAATGATATGATAATTGAATTGAAAGCTTCGCCAAAATTATGTAGTAAAATTATAATTTTATACACCAAATGTCTAATGGAAAAATGTGGCATTATTTTTGTAAATTCCGCTCTAGTCACTGTGTTAGTTTTAATGAAATTTAGTTTGAAAATATTTAAAAATGATGAATCAGAAATATTAAAGACTCTTGTGCCGTCTCTTTTTGTCGCTGTAATGGTCACAATAACTAAATATCCTGTGGAGTTAGTAAAAACAAACACGAATGTAAGTTTATAAGAAAATATTCCTTTTTTTATACCTAATTAATTTTGAACAAATTCCAATTTTTTTTTTTTTGATTTTCAGAATTTGAAGACACTTACGAATTTGATCGAAAATATTTTCCCTCTATTGAGCCAATCATTAGATTTACGCATAAAATACATGACAATTATTTTTAATGCGGCTGTATTTTATCATAGTAAAGATTTGAAAAATCTTTTATCCAATGGACAAATTTTTTCACAAGAAAATATTCTCGATCAAGTGTTTTCCTTCATCACAGAGGAATTAATGAAAATTATTTTGTGCTTCGATGAATTTGACGATTTGTGTTTTAACATTTTGGATAAAACTTATTTCAAATACAAAGTTGTGAGTAAAATTTTTAATTATTAAAAAATACAACAATAATTGAGCATTTTAAATAATAATTTTAAAATTATAAATTATCAGTTGGATCAATTATCATTATTAATGATTATTCAACGTCTTATTGGGCAACGGAAAAAATCGACAATGAAAAATAAAAAACGAATGAAAACTGCAGTGCGTTCAATAAAAGAACAAATTGATAATTCATCTGAAATAATTGATTTCACTTCAGTTCACGATAAGTATGATTCAATTTAATAATTATGAAAATTTAAAATTTAATTAAACTTTCTATATTTGTGTAATTTATGTCAAAATTTATAGAACTTTATTTTTATTAAATGCTTTTTATATTTTCAGATTTATTAGTGATTCAAAAAAACAGATTCTCAAAGAGATGTTAAGTTCGTGATATTCCTGAAATTTCAAGTGAAAAAAAATGTTATTTGTTTAAAATTTGAAATTGTTAAAAAAACGAAATACTTCCACTAATGAGGAAGAGAAAAATGAGTTGAAAAAATGTTATAAAAACAAAAAAAAGAATTTTCTAAAAATTCTTGTATATATTTGTAAAAGTTCCACAATTGAAAATTATTGAATTTTTACTTTTGTATTGAATTTATTGTAGTATTATATAGTTATATATGTATATATTTAGTATATATGAAAGCAAAATAATCAAAAAAAATCTACGGATGTTAAAAATTTCATTTTTAAATATTGTTGAACTTGTTATTATATGGATATAATTTTTTTTTTTTTTCCATAATGAAAAATACTTTTCGTACTTTATTGTTTTACGTTGATTATTATTTAATGTGCTCGTCAGGAGACTAAAAAATTGGAAAATTTTAATATTTGTTATAATGAAGTTGAAAATAAATTTCAATGAGAGACCAAATATTATCTTTTTATTTTTAAGACTTTATATTAATTTATTTATTCTAATTATATTGCATTGAAATTCAATAATGAATTATTATTTCTTTTATAATAATAACAATAATAATAATAATAATAAAAATAATAATTCATAATAGAAAATAATAATTTTAAATTATTAAATATTTACAGAAATATTCCGCATTTGTCGAACGGCAGCGACTACACGAGCATTGCATCCAGATTGTTCAGCAAAATCTTCAGGTGGCAATCTCAATAATAGTGACATTTGTTGCAAATTTTCGGATAGTGATAGGCCCAATTCTTCCAGGACATTTCCAAGGTAATCTGTCAATTTTTTTTTTTTTTTTTTAAATTGAAATTTTAATTCAATTTCATTTAATTAAAATTAAAAATAAAAATCTTTTTAAAAAAAATTTACCAATGTCAGTTGCAAGTTGCTTGCAGGCAGAAATATTTAATTCACAAATGCCTAAGGTTTGATCCTGAAACATTTGGCAAGTTTCTTTGGCAACAATTCCCAATAAAATATCAGCAAATCCCGATTCAGTTGATCCTTGATTATATTGAATGTCAGCGGCTTTTAATGCGTGTATTAAACTTGGATTGTCACGCAATAAAAATGGTTCTAAATGTTGTGGCAATGTCATTAAATATTGTCCAATTTGTGTAATATATTCTTGAGGTGCAAAACTATAATCAGGTAAATCTGATGTGATACTGTTACTATTGTTTTCTGTTAATGACCATGCTGGTGCTTTTTGTACAAGCAATAATTGAGTGAAAATTGGTGAAAAAATTACTTCGTACGTTGTTCTATGTAAATCAGAGCACAATTTATGAATTGTTTTTATTGTTTGGTCCAAAACAGTTTTTTCCTCTGCAAATGAAAAAGAATGATATTTTATTTTAAAAATAGAATAGAAATAATTGAAAATAATAATAATAAAATATATAAAAACCTCTCTGAATAGTTGATACAAGATTCTGCAATTCCGTTCGGCCAGCTGACGTTAGTAATAAAATTTTATATTGTCCAAAAACATTACCAACTGAACTTTGAATTTTATTGTTAATTTCAATAATATCAGTAGTCAATGTTTTTTCGAAATTTTCAATATTTCCCAAAAATTCACCTGAATAATGACAAATATTACATTAAAAAATTCGTATTTTTTTATTATATATTTATAATAAAAATTTGATAATATTATAAAATAAAATTACCTATCGTTTGCATCAGTGTCAAACACATTTGAAATAAATTCCAATCCTCGTGTTTAACTTTTCTCTTCTCTAACATTCGAATGCCAGTTTTATATTTTTCCACATAATTATTGAAATATACCTGACAATTAAAAAAAAAAATTTAATTTCATTAAAATACCTAGCAATATTTAAAAATAACAAAAAGAAATTTGAAACAATCTTATAATTCTCAATAAGTGATAATTTATAATTAAATAATTAAAATTTGACAATAAAATAACATACGTTGAGTGATTTAAGTAAACCGGGATAACCGCAGCCCTCTGTGAAAATTTTACATCTCTTGTTGGCCTCATTTGCATAATCCAAGATTCTTGCAATGCTAAGCGAAAGATAATTAATTGTTTCACTTAAATCATCATGAATACAATCTAAGGAATTTAATTGTTGTCCTAATTGGGCATTTTCATAGATACTGTATTTCGTCACATAGGGAACATAGGGCATATAAATTGCTTGAGCTAAATGTAAAATTTTTTGCTCTTGAATTTTATTTTGTGAAATTTCAATTGCACCCTGTAAATTCACAGTGAAATGTCTTGTAATTTGTTTTAATTCCATTAATAATGTCAATTGCATTGCATTTGTATGTTGCTTTAATGTGGCCTCGATACATTCCAATATACCTGGATCCAAATTTCGCAATAAATCCGTGTAAATTTCAATTAAAATTTCAACTGAGAAATTTTTAAAAACTTGTGTACACCACTTGAGCTAAATTGGTTTAAAAAAAAAAGAATTTACATATTAAATTTTTGTAAATTAAATGATAATTAAATTTAAATTATACTATTGTTAATTTAATAATTTTGAATTTTGCACACGCAAAACAATAATTGGAAATACGAAAAATGTTTTTTTTTTTCATTATTCTGCAAAAATTAGAATTAAAATAAATTAAGATTATCACAGAACATTTGAAAATATTATACATGAGGTTAATGAATTTCAGAATATTTATGAAAAAAATTTTTAGAATTATTTACATTTATTTAAGTTTATCTAGTTGAAAATACATGAAAACTTATAGAACAATTTTTGAAAGTGAAAAGTGAAAATATTTTATAAATAGATAAAAATAATTAACTTTTTTTAATTTGAAAATATAACTATTTCTTGTCTAGTGATCCTTTGATTATTAAATTAACAATTAAATATTTTAAATTTAATAATTTGACGTTATATCATTTTTTTTCAATATTTCAATTTCTATATTTTCCGGTTTTTTCTTATTCTGAGATAAGTTTATGAGATTGAAAGAATAATACCTGCTCTTGCCAGACGGATAACAATTTATCATAAAATGTATGTAGCCAATAGGTAATATTTTCGTCCTGTGCAAGTTCTATCGTTCGTCTCCATTCTTGGCTCAGTGAAACCTTCAAGCAATTGTGATAATATTTCAACAATTGTGGCAAACGATCGATTTTGTTGAAAATATTTACGTAAATTTTCGACTGATCTAAATCAATAATAGGTGCAATATTATTTAAAAAAAAAAAAATACTTTCAATTGAAAATTATTTTAAAATATTTCATTAAAATAGCAAATTTTACCTGCATTTGATGCAGTGAAAGCATCAACAAGTCGTGGACTTGCCATTGCCTCGAGTCTATTTTTTAATCCTTCTAATTGTAATTTTTTATCCTCGTAATCAATAACATTTGCTAACATTGATAATGACTTTTGCATACTAAACAATTTACTGGCAATATTTTCAATATCTCCAGATTCAAAAACCTGAAACGATTCATTTTTTTTTTTAAACATTGAAATGAATTAATTTAATTAGTTTAAAAAAAATTCATTTAAATTACCTCCTCCACGTCATTAGCCAATACTGTCCAATTATCTGCTTCGTGAAGTCCTTGTTTGGCAGTTTGCAAATCAGTTTTAATTCTGTCGATTCTCTCCAAAACTGCAATTGAAGAGGCTGTGTCTTTTTCTACCTATTGATTTGAGAAAAATTAATATTACAAAAATTGGTATTAAATTTTCAATTTAAAAGGATAATAATTACATTTGCAATTTCTTGTTTTACAACAACCATTTTATCTTGCAAAGCTATTGCTTCTTGTTGCAAAAGTTGAGTATCTCGAAGAATTCTTGGCAAACTAGATAATACAGATTGACTTGTTTCCTCAAGTGCTCCATTTATTTGTTGCACGTACAATTGTAATTTTGTTACCATAACCGTAGCAAAAGCCTGTGAAATTAATTTTTAAAAATTAATTAATACCAAAAATAATTTACAAAAGAATTTTGTTTTTAAAAGTATTTTAATAAATTTCTATTTCCTTTTTTTTATAACAATTTATTATTTGCCAAATATTAATAATAAATTAAAAAAAAAAAAATTAGTTACAAAAATATTACAAAATATTTTTTTTTTAATTTTTCAATTATTTTACAGTAAAACATAATTTTTTTTTATTATTAAAAATAACAAATAATCTTAAAGAAATTAAAAAAAACAATTTTAACAAATTTTTATTTTTATTTCATCAAAACAATAAAAATACAAAAAAAAAAATATATTTTTTTGTGTAAAAAAAATCATATTACATTTCAAATAAAAAGAATAATTTTTTTTTATTACTATTGAAAATTTTAATAACACAAATAGAATTTTAGCAAAATGGCAATTTTTAAAATTCTGTGCTGGAAAAGTTAATATTTTTCATTTCTGGAAGGAAATTTCTCATACAAAAAAGGCGCAGTGTGTCAGTGACCATCTTTAAAGTTCATTCAAAGTTTAATGGTTCTTGTGTGCGGAAGTGATAAAAATTAAAAAATTGCAAAAGTTTATTAAAGTTGCGAGTGTACTTACAATAAAGGTTAATTTACCTGTTTAATTTCCGGATTTTCAGTTGATTTAAACGTTTTATTAATCCAATCTTTAACATCGAAATTCTCATCGGAAAATGCAGAGACATCCTAAAATCATCTTTTGAGGTTAGAAAACATGTTTCATTTAATTTTGTCTTTTTTCCTTCTTATTTATTAATAATTATCTCTAATAAATCAATAATCACATTTTATTAAGTATTTGTCAACTAATTTTTACAGGAAAAATGACAAACTCTTATTATAGAGAAAAATTTTTGCAAATAATTATTAAAAGAGGTTAAATGTAAAAAATTGATTATTTCCATTTCTTACCATAATGAAGGATTTTTATTTTCTTCTGATATTATTATACTTTTATTCTTTTTTGACTTTTGAAAAATTTGTTTTTTAATATTTCTTATTACGTACAATCAATAAATAATTGATACCACGTCATAAGAAATAAAATGTATTTTATCTCATGTTTTTTTACACGTTCATGGTTATTTCACAGATGACCAACAATTCAACAAATGAAAATCATCAATAATGAAGATTTTTTCAATATTTATATCTATTTATTTACAAAAACAACTAACTTCATCAAGATACGTTTAGTTCGTTGATTTGCGACATTCAACGTGGAAAGTTCAGTTTAGGTTAGAATCGTGGGCCCGATATGATACACGAGTCGTGATAAATTAACTTTAAATTAGCCCTCAAAAAATTAAAAAAAAAAAGTCTAAGAATGTGAACAGTTTAAAGAAAAGTACAACAAAAGTATCAAATCATTTTTTTATTAATGAACGAAAAAATAAAAGTAATATATAAGTGATGAACATAAAACAAAGACAAAAAAAAATCGTGATCGTCGTTAGATTTTTTTAAAATAAGTGCCTGACGTGATAGAAAGTTATTTTTTTCATTTTATCAATAATATTAAATAAGAATAGGAAAAAGGAGAAAAAAAACTGCAAGTTGCATTTAAGTGCATTATATATTGTTTATTTCCGGGGCCCTGTATTTCCCACAAACCACGCCTCCAAAGTTGCGTTTGCGCATCACGTTTTGCGCAACAGTTGGAACTTGGAATTTTGCCCCGAATTTCCTCGTCCCTCCCGCCATCATTTTGACGGTGTTCCAAAATAAGGAAAAAGCCAGCCAGTTTAGCGGGTCTGGGTGTAGCAAAGTTCTCTTTTTTTGTCACGTAAAATTTACTCTCAATTAATAATAATTAACACCAACAACGTATATATCAATGTATAATAGTGCACGTGTCAACTTGAAAATTCGAAAATCCGTCGTGTAACATTGTGGAATTGCGGATGTCAGATATATATATTGACCAACCTGATTAACGGTTATGTTTTGAGGTTAGTCGACAATTTACTTTTTTATTCCCCTTTTTGTTTTATTACAACGTACTGTTGAAATATCACAAAACTTGTTATACAGTGAATGTAAAAACATTTCTTTCGTTAATACATACTATTATCATAGAAATAGTTGTAATTTAATACCGGTGCTAAATATTTATTTTTGTGTTTACAACATTTGAAGAGTACAACATTGGAAGAAAAAAAAGTGATTGGGGGAATTTCGGTATTTTGTATTTGATTGTAAATATTTTTTTTTTTTTTCTATAAACTCTTGAATTAAGGGATATTAATTTTGAGGTTATATTGCAGTGTAGTAGCCAGTGGAGACAGTCTCCAACGGAATTTTTTATATTTAAAAAAAAGTAATTGGTATGATATAAATTTCGATATACGGGTATCGAGTATAAAAAAACGGATAAATATATAGTGAAATATATATTTTTTTTTTAAAGTTTTTTAACACACGGGTATAAATGTCGACGAAATCATTAACAACGCGACGTGTTCGCCGTCGACGGTGTAAATTCATAGGTGGATGGCTTTTAAATCGACAATTCAAGCGATGGTTAACTCCAGTTCGAGGTGATAATCACAAGGCATATTGCGCACTGTGCGAGAAGATTTTCTCTGTTGCCCATGGGGGACTTCATGATGTTCGCGCGCACTTTAAAGGAAAGAGGCATATTTCTTTTGAAGTCGCAAATAGCCAATCACAACGTGCGCAACGGCTTGCTCGATTGGCGGATACTGGATCGCGAAATTCATGTGCACCTCATACATCCTATAGGAATCGACGATTGCTGCTCGGACGAGTTGAGCCTGATGATGTTGAATATTGTGAACAGGTATTTTTTTTTTTTTTTTGTTGTTGTTGCTCTTCTTAAGCCCCCGACCATGCAGCCATTGTCTCAACATCGATAACACCAAGAATGCACGTCTACCTATACGTCTTCCCGCTGAACGACAAAAATCAAGTAATAGAGATTCCCTTCCCTTTTTTATAATATAGAAAATTTGTTTCGTTTTTTTTCCAAAATATTGACTGAGATATCATTTTTTCTGGTCCAGTCGAATTGAGAAATTTAGGACATGCTTTTTGTAGGCGTTTTTCTTTTTTTTTGTCCGTTTGCTTGTTTTTATTCTTCAACCCCATTTTCACATCATTGATATATAACTAATATTTTTCACACCCATTTCATATGTGTATATATATAGACCATTTGCATTTAAGTGATATATGTTCGCTCCCATTTTTTGCCTATATAGATAGAAGCGATAAAAATCATATTTCGCTCATCTTTAAAAATTGTTCATCAGTGTTAAAAGTGCATACTTTTTTTTTGTTTTCAAGCCGACATTGATTTTGTGCTTGAATATTTTCCACCCCCCCCCTCCCCCCTTTTTTTTATTTGTTCTCCATATATATATATCTGCGCAAAATGGTGAATTGTGAATTTCATGGATTAATATCACTATTTTTGCGTTTTTGTTTTTTGTGTTCTGAGTGTTTTTTTTTTTTTTTCTTGAAAATTTCTTGTTATAATTAATTGAGAGTACAAGGAATGTATCGATGAATTGATATTGGTTGTATATTCTAATCCACTCGCAAGGCGTATCAGGTTGACCTAGGTCAGGAGCGTTCGGGGTGTTGCCGAGAAAGGCCGCAGATACAGGAGAGTGAATAGAGTGAGAGAGATAGGGAAAGAGAGAAAGAGATGTGAAGACGAGATGTTATATACGAATAGCGGTTATTCGTATACAGGAAGAAACGGCTTTTTTTTCTTTTTTTTTACTTGAGGCAAATGACCGATTTCATGTAAAAAAAAAAAAAAAAAAAAGTGTAATTCATCTAGATATGTTACAGAATCGTTCAGGAATTATTTTATTTTTCATTGAAATATTATAAAAGCACGATTTCATTAACTGTGTTATTAATATTATATTCTATCATTACCATTTTATGTGTCTTAAATTGATTATATATATTTTATTTATCTCTCAAGACGAGATATCTTAAATTAATTCATTCAGTTGCAATGATTTTTCTTAAATTACAAAAAAAAATTTATTTTTATCTTAGAAATTTATTTATTTTTTTTTAATGAAAATGAATTTATTATTTATAATTTTTTTTTATTTATAAATTAGTTATTGAATTAAAAAAAAAAATTTTAACGAACAAATTAAAAATAAATAAATAAAAAATAAATTAAAAAATGTTTTTATAGATTTATTTGAATTAGAAAAATTATTTTTGACGTTAAAAAATTTTTCCTTGATTTAAAAAAGTATATTTTTTAACTAAAAGAATTTTTTTATTAAAGGAATGTTTTTTTATGCAAAGAAACTATTTTTTGATTGTATATGATATTCTAAATTAAAAAAGTTTTTTTTTAAAAAAAGGAGATTTCCTGTTTAAATTAGATAATAATAAATAAAATGATTACATAATTAGATTGAAATGTAAATTACACTGAAAAAAAAAATTCATTTGATTCAAATACTCGATTACTTGACTATTATCAAATAAATATATTTATTTGTATCAAATAATTATTATTTGAGTCAATTAAATGGTATTTGTTTCAAATACAGAAATTATTGGTTCAAATACAATTTATTTAATTCAAATAAAAATTATTTAATTCAAATAAAAATTATTTGGTTCAAATAAATATTTATTTGCTAATACTCAAGTAATTGAGTATATTTGAATCAAATAAATTTTTTTTTGCAGTGTAATGATAATTTTTATGTAAACAGTAATTTTTTGTTAATCTTATTTTTTAAATTATTACTATTGTAATAACAATAATATTAAATTCTGTAACATACATATATATGATTTACGAATATTGTTAGGTTGTTTAGATTTTTATTATTATCGTTTTACATTCTTCCCGATTATATACATTTGAAACAAAAATTTATTTGATTCAAATAATTGATAACTTGTTCATTAAATACAGTTGATTTAATTCAAAGAAAAATTTAGTTCAAGTAAACTGATTATTTAAATTAAATAAATTTTTTTTCAGTTAAATAAAAATTTACATGATTCAAATAATTGATAACTTGTTCATTAAATACAGTTGATTTAATTCAAATAAAAATTATTTAGTTCAAGTAAACTGATTATTTAAATTAAATAAATTTTTTTCACTTATACAGTAAAAAATAAAAATTTATTTGATTCAAATAATTACTACTTGTTCATTAAATACAGTTGATTTAATTCAAATAAAAATTATTTAGTTCAAGTAAACTGATTATTTAAATTAAATAAATTTTTTTCACTTATACAGTAAAAAATAAAAATTTATTTGATTCAAATAATTACTACTTGTTCATTAAATACAGTTGATTTAATTCAAATAAAAATTATTTAGTTCAAGTAAACTGATTATTTAAATTAAATAAATTTTTTTTCAGTGTATATTAAATTTTCATTAAAAAAAAATTAATTAATTATTTGAAAAAAATAAATATTCGATAAATAGTCAATCGATTATATTTGAATCGAAAATTTTTTTTTTTTCTTGTCGTTGGTATAAAATATTAATAATTTTACTATATATATATTTTTTTAATATTCGTGAACATTATATTGATAGGAAATCTTTTGTTCGCCATATAAGCTCTTGAAATATTAGATCATTAGAAGGACCAAGAGACGTAATTTATTGAACGCGACCTAACCCTCGTCGCGTCACTTAAAGAGAAAATAATGAAGCAGTGAGGGAGCAGCAGCAGCAGCAGCAGCAGTAACAAATTTACGTCCTCGAATTTTTCCGCTCAAAAATTATTCAATACATCTCTTACATAAGACGTAATTTATGCTAGCCAGTTTTTCCTCCTCGTCTACTCCGCGTTCGTAAAGTATTAAAAAAAAAAAAGTCTTTGAAAATTTTTTGCCAATTTCGCACGAAGGTACGAGGATAATATTTATAGTTGACGGCAAAATTACAAAAAAAAAAAAATTTTTTTTTTTCATGTCGATTTATTTGTTAATTATTTTTTTTCTCCCACATTTGTGGAATGACTATATAAAATTTGTGAATTGCTAATTTTTTAGTAAAAAAAAAAAAAAGAATTTTTAAATTTATTATTTGAATTTCGGAATAATTAATTTTGAATCTAATTAGTTTTTTTTTTTTGAAAACTTTAAATGATAAAATAACATGGGCCCCTTTTGCTTTTCTTTATAGGTGTATATATATATGTAGTATATATGCATTATGGATCGATACTCGAGTACCTAACAACGCTTCCTATCATTTCTGAGCTTAGAAGACAAAACTTGACGATTTTGCGCAGTAAATTTTAACCCTAATTTTAAATTTGCTGTGAAAAAAAAGTTATACGCTCAAAACACATTCAATATCGATAATTCCCGCCAATTTATTTAAAAATTCCACTACTTTTATATTCGGAAGCTGTTTTTTAAATTTTCTTATTTCATTTCATTTTTAGAATTAGAATTTTTTTAACCAAAATTTCGATTTAAAAAAAACAGAATTTATTTTTGGTTTTTTATTGTAAAAAAAAAAAAACAACAAAAAATATCATTAGTTGTCTTTGTTTTGTGCCGCTCGATTTTCTTTTTGTGGTTAGATTGATTTTTGCAAATTCTTGAAAGTTTCTGAAGGAGAGGATCGAAAGAAACAAGAGAGAGAGAGAGAGAGAGAGTGAGAGAGAAGTAGACGAGACACGAAGACCGTAAAAGCTAGTTGGTGATGCCATATTGTAATCCCGCGCATTCAGTCGAAAACAACCGAGTGTTGCCGATGTTTTACCTCCCATAGACCATGGCGAGTACAGGGGCGAATTGAAAAGCTTTTAGCTAAAAAGGAATTTCGTTAATAACGTAAATTTATGCCAGAAATGCTTCCCAGACTCATGCGCTAAAGAAAACTATAAATTTTCTCATAAAATATTTTAATACCGACAAAAAGGCGCTCTCTTATAAAAATGCGAGAAAAAGGTTAGCAATTAAGGTATTTCATTATTCGACGAGACTTTAAAATGCCTTTAATGATAATTAAAAAGAATATTTATTCAGACACACGAGAGAAGGGTATATATAATATTATAAATAAATAAAAAAAAACCACAAAAGTGCAATAAAAATCGATGTTGTTCAATGGTAATTGCATGGTCGCAAAATTTGTATATTTTTTCTTTTCAGCATTTTTGAAAAAAAAAAATTGTTAACAAAATTGATATTTATTGTTGACACTAGAAATGAATTTAAATTTTTAATGTATAAAATATGTAATTTGTCGATAATATCGATTACTGTTTGAAAATTTCGCGGTGCTAAGAAACCTTTAGTAGCGCCCCTGGCGGCTGCTGATGGAACTATTTGGTATTGTTGCCGGTTTTGTGTGAGTTGCGCGTAATTTAGTTAGTTTCATTTTTAATGTGTTTTAATAGTTAAAAAAAAGTGAATTATAATGATAAAGAGTGAGAAAAGAGTAAAGAAAGTTCCTGATTTTCATGGAGTCTCGACAAAGAAACAGGAATTATCGATTTTTATTGATATAAGTTGTCGTGATCGGACTGCGGAACATAACCTAACTTTTTTTCTTTCTACAATCGCATAATTAAGGTATTTTACTAATACACTTAATTAATTATTTATACAAATGAATTTGTTTCTTGAGAAATAGAATAGTGTTTTTTTTGCCAAAACTGATAGCAGAATAATTGTTGCATTGACAATTTTGATTTGCTATTGGCTATTACAAATTCTGTTTATTATTTTAGTATTGAAAAAATCGATTGCTTCTATAATTAGAATATTCGACTTGTATTAAAATACTTGATCGTAATATGTTTTAAACAAATTTTATTCAACTGACATTTTTAGGTTATGTTGCATTTCTAAATAATTTGCCATCTTTAATGGTTCTTTTTTTTATTTTCTCAGAGAATCATTAAAAAAATCTTTAATTCCTATAGTGTTCAATTT